AGGAAACATAACAGAGAGGTGTGAGATCCCCTCACACACACTCACACGCCACCTGACTGGAAAGAAACTACATGTAGCCTGCCCAGAGTTTCTCGACACCCTTGTGTAAAGACGAAGTGGTTATTATAGAGGACTAATTAGTGTTATCCCTGCCGGTGTCAAAAGTCCAACTGCAGCCTTATCTAGACAGGTTCTTCTGAGCTGAAATATGTGTTTGTAAAATCATATTTCAAGTCAAACTTAGCAGCTGACAATTTCCAAACAATGTCTCCAAGGGCACGTGTAACAGTGTCGCAACAGGGACACAGACGGAGAGTCGAGGGACTTGTTCAGGTTGTGGTTAATCATTGTACATCATCCAGAAACAGGTCTTTTCTTCAACAAATAAATACGTAACCACCCAAACAAAGAAAGAAACCCTGTGATGTTGATAAAATTTCCTTTTTTCTTATTTTATTGTTTCCAGAAAATTATGATTAAGAGAGAAGGTGCATCATCTTCCCACAGGTGATGCTTCATGACACGACACTAACCTCCAATAAAAAGGTATCAAAAGAAACCCATAAATACAATCAGTGTCCCGGTGATTACTCTGTGTGTGTGTGTGTGTGTGTGTGTGTGTGTGTGTGTGTGTGTGTGTGTGTGTGTGTGTGTGTGTGTGTGTGTGTGTGTGTGTGTGTGAATGAAAGATTGTGGGCTGAGAATGTCATAACCTTGCACACATAGGATGGGTGGAGACTCCAGACATCGTGGAGACAGAGGTTATAAACTTAGGAAAGACGTTTCTCACAATCCCCATTGTTAATCCTCATTTTACAGTGTACAGATGACTAATGTTTTACAACATGGCTCTGAAAAAGGTGTGAGATGGTGCACCTGTAGGAAATATTCGTAGCATTGACATTTCCAGAAGAGTGAATATGGAAGTGAAGCGGTGACAGTTTTCAATCATTAAAAAATGTTCACTCCTTTTTAAAAAATCTTTGGATAATCCATTATCTTGTTCAATGGTACAGGCAATGAATGCAAGTCATTACTTGTAAGTCGTTTGATGGGGTTTTTATCCTTTGTGGTCAGCCCAGAAATGGTTGTGCCAGAAATACAGGCTTTCACAATGAAGCAAAAAATTCTCTTCAAATGACTGACCCATGGGATTACAGTTTGAAGAAGAAACTTTCTCATGACGTCTTTTTTTCCTCTGTTAAAGATACGAATTTAACCGTTCAAATCTCTCTTAATTGTTATGTTTTTGGTATTTATAATTTCAATAAATTTGTATAACATGACACATGTAGAGTATACCAATTACATATGTTGTGATTGTCCATTTGCTTTAGAAATATACTGAAAACAGGACAATACATTTCGAGTCGACCATAAATGATGAATTTATTCTTATTCTGCTGTTTAGGGTGACAGTTAAGTGGATTAACAAAAAAGAATGGTAGAGTTGAAATGTTGTTTTCTCCTCCTCCCATCACAAGCATTGCAGATAGCTTTATTTTGCTGTTTGTTCTTTACACTTCAAAATACTTCCATTCAGTTGACATGTTGAAACTTGTTGGCGTGCTTAAGCTGTCATTGTGTGCACATAATTCATGTGTCACCATACTGGCAGCAGAAATTTTCATAACTGCTGAAACCTATAATTAACTTTTTTTTCAGTTATTAGGTACCAACACTAATACTGTGTTGTGCCCAGTTCTCTAAGCACTCTACATATTTGTCCTATGGAATACAGGAAAATTGCCCCAAAATATAACTTCAAAAAAACTAATTAGTTTTATCGAAAGTTTCTGTTAATTGGATGCAATCATTTGTTGCCTCAGTTTTTGTTGCATGATCATGTTAATTACAATAAATATATTTGTACTTTTTCTGATACAGCATTATACACAGTGAAATTCGTAATGTATTAAACATATGTTTACATTTGTTTGAAATGGCATTTTTAGCAAATAAATAATTAAAAAATCTACTTGAGCCCTTAGGTCTTCCTTAACTCTTGTTTGAAGTTGCATATATGCATTCACACCTCTTCAATGCAAAAGAAATATGAGCTAAAAGAGCTTCATCTTTATAAGTAAGACATGAGGAGGGAGGTATGCAGCCTATGAGTAAGATAAATCCTGGTCTACATGGAACCTGAGGACAGAGTTTGAGATTTGAGAGGAGATTTTTGCATGAGAAGCTGAGAGTTAAAGAGCTCGGACTTCATCATCTGTACATCAAAATTGAATGGCATGACAGAGAGAATAACGCTTGGACGATTTCAAGGAGCAACTGGTAAATTAAGATGCTTAGCTAATGTCCTGCAGGGATGCTGATGGTCTGTTTTAATTTAGTTATCATGTTTGACCAAGTATGGATTCGATATGCTAGTAAAAAATAAACAAATAAGACTTCACTGTTGTACATGTTTCTGATAAGTTCAAAAGAAAAATAGACACTAAGTTGTATAGAAATACAGTTATCAGATGGATTACGATGTCTTATACTTGAGCAAGCTGCACAGTGGTGCACTTTTTTTTTTGGTACTTTTTATAGATGAAGTTCATGACTTTTACTTGTTGCGCAATATTTTCACACTGCAGCATAAATACTTCTACTGAGGCAAGGGACCCACATACTTCTCTCCCCACTGCACACTCAGATCTTATTGTTTGTACAAAAAGATATGTTGATTTCTGTACATTTGAATTTTTTGTGATTTTCTTTCTTTTTACTTCTTGGTTCAGCAGCTGCTGCATTATTTGTAGGGAGCAGTATTGCAAAGTCAGAGGTCAACAAAATCAATTCCCCTCACCACAGACTATAACAATTAAATGGAGACTGCGGACTATTTACAATGTGACTCAGCACTGTTTCACATCTCTGTCCCTGGGATATTCAATCTATCTGCTTTCTGAGACATCATTTTAAGGTTTGATTTCAAGTCTGCTTCATTTGCCGTTACATGCTCTCTCTCTCCCCCTCACACACACACAGACGCACACACAGTTAGAGGCATGAATAATATTTTCACTGGAAGCTTCTTGAGTGCTGCAGATGGGACAACATGCCACTATTTTCACAAAACCGCCTCTTCATTGAGGCTGCTGTGTAAGTAACCCGCAGGTTTCAGAGAGCGGCTGATCAGTCTGTTGTGGGGCGTGTGATCAATAAAGCACAAAAATAATTCAATCAAACAGTTTCACCCCGGTGCTCAGACCAATTATAACCCATTTACCCTCAGTGAGGGATCAATAAGCTGATGGTCAGGCTGTAGTGTGTTGAGCAGGATTGTGATTTGCTTCCCCCTACTGGTTTTATCTCTCATTACATCTGCATATAAAATCTATTGCTCACTTGTAAAGAGGTGGCTGTCTGTCGTTACAGGATATTGCCATCCGTGACAACATTATTGCCTCACTTACAGCTTTGAACTCCATCATTGTTTCCTTTTCTTATCAAATTATCTCCACTCCAACAGCAAGGCCTCTACATAATTTTGTTGAACGGTGGTAAGAGCTTGAACACTCAGATTTCCATTTGGATTTCACACCCAGTTTTTTTTGGAGACAGGTTTGCGCCACAAGTTGAAAACCTAGACCTGGCCACCAAAAGCTCCAATAGAGGAAGGATCTCTGGGGTTAGTTGTATGAAAACTCTCAAGTGGGACATTTATGTGGTGGTCGAGAGCCTAAAAGTTAAGGGTTTGAATCCTAGAAGGGGTCTTTTTTGAACTTATCAAGACTTTACACATTGATTTATCTTTACTTTTTTTAGCTACCTTTGAATTTTCAAACCAAACAAAAACTACTCAAAAGAAAGTGAAAAGGTTAACACTCCAACTCTGGGCCTTAGGAGGAAAGGAGCTGAAAAAAGGAGACACAGGTTTATAACTTTCTTCTTCAGTTGAAGATTGTCACAGCTGGCATCAAACCCAGACATTTCATCATTGCCTTATAATGATAAAAGGTTTCTGTGTTTCAGGTTTACCTTGTCGGTTCACTCTTAAGCTTGGTTTCTTAATCACTTAAGACAAGATGTCAGCACGGCCAACATCAGACAGGCTTGTTGCCAGACTGTCAAGCTGCTCTCCAAGTCAAACAAGCTGTTTATGTTGTTTTATGTTTAGTTTTATCCATAGACTGTATATAGAATGGACAGCGTCTGCCTCCTCGCTGGGTGAAGCCACTTCAAGAACAGCACCCTCTGTTGACGGGCTGCAGTAAAGGTCATAAATCTCACCTCTGCCAGCAAAACTCATGGGGCTGTGAACAAACTTCAGAAATTTATGACACAGAATATACATTTTTTCTCCCCCCTGCTTGTGATGTTGACATGTAGTTATTGTAAGACTGATTAATGTTCAAATCCTCTTTTTTTGTGCAGCACCGTTTTTAAAAGTTATTAGGGGGTTCATGTTTTCTATGATTGACACCTGATACAGCCTACGGGTGTATGAAGATCGCGTAGCTCACCCTGGGGAAAAACACTCTCCCACCGAATGCGCACAATGCTACTGCGCAATGTTGGTTTCAGGAAATAAAGAAAAATGGCAGAAATACTCAGAGCTTTTTGGATTCAAATTCATATACTGATGGGAGGCGGAACCAAGTTGTCCATAGTATATACAGTCTATGGTTTTAACTAGCTTTGGATTTTAAAAAGATGACTGACAGACAGCTCCTTCAGTGTTTTTTTTTTTTTTTCAGGTTTAGTAGTACATCAAGGGAAACATAACACACACTGATATTAAACTTAACATAACCACACATGTCTCTATGAAAGAATCTGTTCTACTTTGAAGTACTGACCTGATGTAACTTTGCCTTTTTTTTGCGTTAATCCTGCAGCTCTGCAAGCCAGATGGCAACATCCCCATCATAATACGTCAGCGCTTATCCCGGCAGATCTTACATTTCTATTTACAGTCAGTGATATGACTCCAAATGTCTTTTTCCTCATGATTTCTAGTCCTTTTTTTTTTACAGATGAAACACTTTGTCCCAGTCTTTGATAGAGCACCCACATGTGGCAAGTTTTAATGAAGACACATTTACACAACCTTGTACATCAACCTTTTACACACACTTTTAAAAGTTATTTGGTCCTGCATACACCAGTAATTTTACACACTTCATTCCGATGTTAGCATTACATGCACATACACGCATCCTCCATCCAGCTGCCACCGTTACAGAACAGAAAGAAATTATCTCTATTACTCGTTCAATCAATCTTTGCAATTGGTGCCTGTACATGTGTTAAAAAACGTGAACCTGTGTTTTCAGCGGTACAACTTCTGCATTATATGACCAATAAATGACCGTTAGTTTGATGACCTGCCAATAACACACAAGTCTAGTATCACTTTTACATTGGTTTGTTAGCACCGGATAAGGTTACACAAGTATATTTAGTGTGTTTTTATTAATCAGTTAGTGGATATATTGTACAGCAGTTAGTCATGAAGCCCTGAGGTCAGCCATTTTGAATTCTTTACCACAACCACAACTATATCTTTATTCATCCCTACGTGTCACTCAGCAGATACTAACACAGACATGTGACGCTCAGTACAGAGATGGGACACCGGCACATACAGCACACCACACATGGACATTACTTTATACATCATTACCATGGCACCACCGACAGTGAGGCTGATTGACTCGACACTGCGAAGAGATCAGGAAATTTAGTATGCAATATTTAATCTTTTGAATTTAGTTTTTTTTTAAACTGTCACACAAACTTCATTTCTGGATTTTAAAAACTCCAAATCATTGTGACGGGAGGAAAAATCGCAGACAAACACTACTTTTTATGGCTGATCAGTGAAGCTGGCTGGACAGAAAAACTAAAAGGTTTGTTTCAAAACCACTTCACTGATTCAGAATGTGGATTTAAAGGATGCCATATCTTTCATTGATATGGATTTTAAAGCAGCCTCCCTCTAAGTTAAAGAACAAAAGAACATGTGAGGGTATCCGTATGAAGCTGCTCGGCTCTTATTCTGCATTTGAGGTGATAAAAATATCACCACATGCCGATAAAACTTCAAATAATACCTCTTTTCCTCTCTCTCATACACATATATTAAATTAGTTGCCAAGCTACTGTGGCCCTGCAGTGTCCCTGGTGCATCATTTCTTCTTATTCATGGTCTTAGCTGAGTGATATAAGCACTAAGGGAAATCTCTGCGGGTGTCACCCACTGATTTGGTCACCGCCATTTTAAGGTGTGTGACGCTCGCTTTAGTCCACAGTGAGCTGCAGATTTAATGCCAATTTATAAACGCAGCCATCACAGGAGATGAGTTTTATCCTCTGAACAGGGAGAACATCGTTGACGGTTATACTTTAAATGCGTCATCATTGAAGTGACGCAGTCTTTGGGTTCTTTTTGGCTTTAAAGAGTTTTTTTTTTCCTGGCGTGATTAGACTCTCTTTCTCTCCTTGCCATGTCTATTTCTGCTTCAGTTTATGATGACTGTATTTACGTCTTTCACTCAATAAGACCTTCTGAGGTTAATCCAAGAGGAGAGAATGAGTTCTCTGACCTTCACACAATGGATTTTTTTTCATTTTTGATAAAGCCACTTTAAAATTGGTCTCTCAATTATTGCTCACTCTTTCTGGAAGTTTCAGCGAGATGGCAGACAAGGATAAATACACAGCAATGACCTGAAATATTTCCATTGTGGGGAGCTAGCTGCAAATTCCATAACAACGCATATTCAAAAACACATGCAAAAATTCAAAATGCAAATTCATAAACACACACGGGGGGAAAGTAAACAAATGAGAGAAAAATGCAAAGAAAAAGACAAATCACTGCTAATTCTGTGGCCACAATAGGGGGTCAGCACTGATTTGAACTCAATGGTCAGTTGAAAGTCAATTTGTGAGAAAATAATTTACATTTTTATACTGTATGTAACCAAGCAGAAAGACAAAGCTGGTTAGTTTGATGACAGGACATGAAACACAAAGTGTGTTTTCTCGCTTGGTTGGACTCCAGGCAAACTGAGGATTTCTCCAAGAAATCGTTGCTCATGTCTGTGAAGAAAGACCTGAAATTTCTCTCACTGTTCTCACATACTTCCTGCTGTAACCCTTCTAACTCTTTAAAAGAGAACTAACTCATTTTCACCTTTCATTAAGTCAGTCAGGAACACCCGTTGAGTAGCTTCGCAGGATCTGCAGCTCAAGATAACTTCTGTGAAAACCCTTAGTTTTACCCCTTTAGGCTGCAGTGCTTCATTTTGGCTGCTGTTCTGTGATATAAAGTTATGCTGCGTTCAAGTTACCTCAGAAGTCAGATGTCGGAGCTGAAAATGACGTCACACCTGAGTTCCCAGCATTTCAGTTACCAAGTCGAAAAAAAGCAAAATCGGACCTGAAACAATATGGCGACATCTGCGAAAGTTATTTTAGCCCTTGCCATATATTCAGACATGCAAGCGCTAAGATAACTTTCATAGATGTAGCCATCTTGTTTCCACCTCCGCTTTTGCTTTTTTCCGACTTGGTAACTGAAACGCTTGTAACTCAGGTGTGACGTCATTTTCAGCTCGGACTTCTGACTTCCGATTGATGACTTGAACGCAGCATTAGACACAGCTTGTGGGTGTTACTTTTCACACAGCTTTTTAAAATTAAACAACCTGTGACTCACCCAAGGATTTCAAGGTCACTCATGTTATGTAACTTTTCCAAGGTTTAGTAAGGACATCAACACAGTAACATCCTATGAATGTATTAAAGTATGGTTTGGCATAATTCTTCTATAACACAGCTCCTTTTTATAAAACTCCACCATGATTTTCCATTCACAGCCCCTTTCTGTTGCCTGTTTGTTTTCACTTTTATGAATTTGCAGCTCATAGCCACACATAGTTGTTGACCACCATATTAGATAAATTGTTGTGTCCGTTGCCTGAAGGTTCACAGGGCATAAGAGGTTCAAAATTAAGCCAATAAACAATGCAAATACACTGAACAAGGACTGTAGGGTTACATACTGAGCAGTGTACCTGTAAAGACCGACCTTATGAAATCTTTGAATTTGGGCAAGTTGATCTCGCCCATAGACTGTAAAATCTTGGTAATAGTTGAGTGACGCCACCCATAGGTTACCAGAGAGCCATTTTGAAGCCAAACAATGGTGGCACCATGTTGACAATATTGACACACCTGAACTCATACATCTCAAAAAACAGCTACAACGCACCTGCCTGTCCATCCACTCAGCTCCAATCCAATAATGCAAATTTACTTAATGTACACCCCATACCCTTTATCAAATCTTAACAGATGTAATGAAAAACTCTCTAATTGTACAGTGGATCCAAATAAAAAAAATAGCTCCAAACCTAAAACCATTTTTTGAACCAGACTCTAAATATGTTTAATTTGACTTTAAATACAGGCTTTTTAACGTTAGCATATTGGTAAAGAGGATTCCTTGGCATTTGCAATCAGCCTCATGTGGACATTTGAGGAATTGCAGCTTTTTTGCACATTTACATTGGCCTCAATTCAAACCACAGGCTGCCACTCAATCTTTCGACAAGCTGTAGTGAACTAGAATTATACTCTAGGATCTGTCAAATAAGGGTGTATTTACATGTCCTGACTCCACACCACAGTTTGATACTTCAACGGACTGGAAAATATTCTTTAAAAATGTTGAGATGTGTAGATTTCCCCTCCTCCAGGCCAGCTGTTACCCATCTGCACACGTACACAAGCCCATCAAATCCATTCATGTTTTTTCATTTTGTATTTAAACCATGTGTCCACACAATGATATGACAGGATAAAGGTGCCTCCTAAGATAACTAGTGTTATTTCAAGGTGATTCAACAGTGATTAGACAAGTGACGTAAACATTCAGTGGTTCACACACACATACACACAAAAGCAACAGTTACAACAACAACAACAATGCTTTGGATTAGTGAAAAAGTTAAAAAAATCACAATCTTGAGTCTCAGTGACCGAGTGATTATGGAAATACACTCACAGTAATTTGTAAACAAAATATACACATACATACTGTACCTTGTACTCTAAATCTACAGTGGAAATCTTTACTCTTTTGGTTATTTATTTTCAGTCTTATCTCATTGGCGTCTTTTAAATAGTCCATTTCATTTTTCTATGTTATATACAGAACTTACTTATTAGTATTTTCCATTTCTTTTGACAGCACTGTATACTATCATTGTCCTCAAATAAAATCTAAAAAGATTATCTATTCAACATTTTCTAACTTTATAAATCTCCTCAAAGTGCTAGATTGTGATCGGGGTAAAAGTGCATGAGTCCTGCAAGCGAATCACACACAAGTTAAAACCTTCATTTTACATACAAGCCATGCTGATGAAGCAGGCGCACATCAAAAACTTTCACTTTTAATCCTAATTACATGGCCCCAGAATTACAACAACGAGCAAAGTGGACTGTAGAGTCGGCATTAGAGCCACAGACAGCAGTGTGCTAAAGTTTCGTGGTCTGAAGAGTGAATTTGATGATGATAAACCCAACCCTTTTGATTCATAATGTCATCGGCTCAATGATAAGCAGCAGAGGAGAAATGCGGCACTAAATAAAAGGTCTTTCACTCACAAGCCCAAGGAAAAATAAAGTAAAGCCACGTGTATTTCTGCTGTAAAAACCACCCAAACTGATTACTGTTTACATCTCGAGATCCTGATAAGATTTGGACACCATGATAAACCTTCTGATCAACATTAGGATTTGTTGCTGCATGTCTGAGCCAGCGTGTTAGCCACTACTGATTCAGTTTTTTTTTTCTTCTTGGACATTAATCTTGCCAAACAACATAATCCCAAGTCTATGACAAATGGCCAAGATTTCACCATTTGCTTGGCAACACCAGCGTCCTTTCAATCAAGATTTTAGCTCTGCGGAGCCAAAGTACAGTGTACTACTGTGTAAAAAAAAAAAGTGGATTAGATGAGTTAAAGTGTTGGTTTTAAAGTAGGTTGACAATTTTGATGTTATTTTTGTGTGCTAATTTTTTTCTGTACCTCTGTTCTCAAGCTAACTTTTGTGATCTAAACATACTGGATGTAACAGTAAATGGACAGTACTGATATATCTCCTTTTCTAATCTTCTGACCACTCAAAGTACTTTTTCACTTCTTGTCACATTCACTCATATTCATCCATTGATGGCTAAAGATGCTGTCTAAAGTGCACAATCGCGCCTATTCACACACAGCTGGCTATACCATCAGATTCTTATGACAGTTTCAGAATTATAACCCTAGACTGTATATACTATGGACAACTTGGTTCCACCTTCCGTCAGTATACAGATTTGGAGCCGAAAAGCTCTCGGTAATTCTGTATTTTTCTCCTTTTCCTGAAACCAACATTGCGCAGTAGCGTTGTACGCATTTGGCGGGACAGTCGCCAAGAGTCACTGTGATGACGCTCGGCTCAAACAGCGTATCCCCCGGGTGAGCTACGCAATCCTCGTACGCCCATAGGCTGTATCAAGTGTCAATCATAAAAAACATGAACCCCATAATAACTTTTAAAAATGGAGCTACACAGGAAAAAAAAAAAAAAAAAGACTTGAGCACAAACCAGTCTTATAGTAACTACACGTCAACATTGCAGGCAGGGGGAGAAACTTTTTTGTTCTGTGTAATAAATTTCTAAAGTTTGTCAAAAGCTCCATAAGGATGGCTGGCGGAGGCGGGATTTATGACCTATACTGCAGCCTGTCAACAGAGGGTGCTGTTCTCGGAGTGGCTTCACCCAGCGAGGAGGCAGACGGCGTCCATTCTATATGTAGTCTATGGTTATAACTTTGATTCCTATCATCGAATCTTATTAGACTAGATTAAAAAAGATGTTTTTCAGGTTGTTTATGAAATCCTAACTCACTGATTTTTTTATGTGTGAGGCTGGGAGTTGTTAGCACGCTGCTGGTTGTGGCTTAATACCCCCAACAGCCTTCCATTAGCACAAACAGTACACAGCAACACAGCCCATCCTGATCACAATAGCTGAACATTTATAACCTCAGGCTCACAAATTGCAGGTCCACTTGCTAAATACATACACACACCGAACAAAAGAAAAAAAGTTTCAAAACCCACCTTGAGCAAAAAATCATTTTCACACTGAACAACTGAACATCACGATCCAGTTTCTTCATGCATGCAGCGAGTGAACACGCCATAGTCCTGGTTTACTAAGCTTTTGTTACAGGGTCGCAGGTGTTTTCTTTTTCAGAGGTTCGATATAGAGCTACATGTAGCTTTTGGCCTGATGCCTACATGTGTGAACTCTCACACAGGAGATTCAGGCTCATATGAAATTATTTCACTCTGATAGGAGTTACAACTTGACATCATTAAAGGGCAAATTCATCCCTTTTTCATAGATCCTGATGCATCTCTGCTCCTGCTGACAAATCCTTAGTAAATCTGTGTGGTTAGAAGTTACAGTAGAGGCATGTGAAGTGTCCCATGGCTCATTATTCTCTATGTAGTGTAGTGTGCAGTCGTGTGTGAATGAATATTTACAGTACCACAGAAACAACTAGAGGAAGAGAGACATCAGCTTGGCACTGCTTTAGTATCATCACATAGACACAGACTGCAAAGTCTGTACAGGAGTGTAAATGTGCGTGTGTGGGCGGGGTGTTGTTTGTGTGTTTGTGTGTAGCGTTCCTGCAGTCCTCGTCCTCCTCCTCACTGTGTGGGGGAGCAGTCGTCTAAATCCAGCAGCTCCCTGACCAGTCTTTCTCCGAATTGCGCTCGGCTGTAGCGTTTAACCGTGTAGGCGTCAGACATCTTGTAGAGGATGTACGCGTTGTTGATGGCGATGCTGATGCTTAGCCAGAACACCTGCTGCCAGGTCTTGTTGGGTTTATGGAAGATAAAGTATCTGTGGGCGAGAAATAGCTTCTTACTCCAGGGTTTGTAATCAAAGTCATTCCTTTACTTCTAATAATATCCTGAAAGAAAAACTGCTTCACTTTCACTCGGAAAAAAAATGGTATAAGAAAATCAAATCGAGTCTTCTGCTTTAGAGATGACATTTTTAGGTTAGATAGGACCAAGAACATCTGTGTAGAATACAGAGGTGTTACAGTTTGCGTCATTTGGGCTAAAAAGCCAGAAACCTGTGAAAAATCACAAGTTTTCGAGCCAGTATTGAGTAAATACAAAAATCTCTCACTGAAAGATGACTTTGACGGATAACTCATTCTTTAACTGTTCATGAAAAAATGGTAATTTCAGAATTATATAACGACTTATCGGCAAAGAAATATACAAAAGTGGAGAATGGACCGAAATGTTCTGCAAAGACACTGAAGCTTCACAGAAATTTCCTAAACACGTTAAACAGCAGCCATAGATCAAGTAATGGTTGTTGACATCAATAAGGGTCAGTTTTAGTACTTTTGAATCAGAGTTTAGATTTACTGTCTATTCAGCTTTTTTCCAGGTGGAAATGTTTCATTTATTGTCAACAATAGCGCAAATTTAGACAAGTCACATAGATTGACGACAATAATTTACTTCAGATTTTGAAAAAAAATGTCTTTATTTAAAAAACATAAAGCTCCTGTGAGGACCTCTTGTGAGGAGTTGTGAAAATATTGGCAACGTCTTTGGAGAAAATGGTAGCCTGTCTTTTTGCTGATTGCTCGGCAAAGGTGGTGTTTTTTTAAAATGAGAATCTTCTACTTTTTTTTTCTTATTGACAGATAAATATATCAACTTTAAGAAGATTTTGCTGTGGTAAATGTAAAAAGATGCTTTTTTTAGGCAGCATGAAAAATCACTTTGTCTGAGACCCACCTCGCAGCAGCAGTGTCAGACATAAAAAATACAATAAAAAACAGCCTTTCTTTTTGCTAATGCTCTCTTCGCTTTAGGAGGTCTTTATCAGGTACCAACATAAACATCAGTCTGTTTCTTGGCGAGTCAAAACTTCCTCACAGGAGCTTAAATAGGTAAAATGTGTCTACTTCACAGCAGATTATTTCTCTCAGTACAAACAATTCAGGTCTTATTTTCTTTGACCTTACAGTACGCTTGTGTACCTTGAGCATTAAGGTACACACTTACCAGTTGTTAAAGTAAAAATAACAAATGTATAAATTCTTGTGCTTACTTGCTGTACTTGTCGTCGTATTTGCAGATGTAGCTGAGGTGTGCAGCAAAGGCCTCGACCGCGAGGGGACATGGGATCTCCCCACTTTTCCTCTTAATGATCATACCTGCCACAAATTGACATAACACAGCAAAGTGAGATTCAGAGACAAACAAGGTCCCACTAAAGAGACTCGTCTCCTCCAGACTCTGTGGTCACATGGCCGACAACCAGACAAAGGACAGGATCTGTGTTACTATTTTTGTTTTTAGCTGGTCTCCCTTTTTACTGTCCCTTAAGAAGCTGCTTTGTTAGTCGCTGCAGAAAATCAGACTTACCACAGCAGCAAATGCACAGGTGTAAATAAAAGCATTGAGAAACCTCTGCAGATTTCAGTGAAAACAAGATATGGCAGTAAACAAGTATGCAAAATATCAGGGTCCTTAGAGGGGTTCATGTAAATGCAAGCAGCAGTCACTGATACAAGCAAACTAAAGAGAGTTAATTCTTTAATATCACCTCCATGACTCTCGCTTATCTTGAAGCGGTTTATTAAAAACAGAAACAAGCTCCTGTGGATTAATGAAGTCCTCTTTTTGCTCAGAGTGAAACATACTGCACACACACACACACTCGACTTTGCACTGAGGGGAGAGAAAATCAATACTGGAGAGCAACAGATTAAGTGGTTTAACTCGTCATTTAAAGAGTTATAACACAGCAACTCTTCCACTAGGTTAAACTAATCTGTTTAATCAAGAGTGGATTATTTCCTAAAAGGAGGAGAATATCATGATCTTGTCGCTTTTCAGAGATGGATTATCCTGGATTATAAATTCTGATTGATTTTCACTCATGAATGCTAAACAATGTGCAAATTTCCCTTGTTAGTAAGCAGGTCTTATTCTCTCACCCGAGATAATCAAAATTCAGTTTGACAGAGAAGCAGCAGTACCTTGTTTTGTTGGGGAATAACTGTTGGTGAGGAACCGGAAGTGTCCCTTGTTGTACCAGCTGATCAGCGACAGAGTGCCTTTCATCATCACCCGCGACTGGCCGCGCTGCGCCGGCGTGGCGCCACAGACCAGCATGTTTTGTGGTAGGCCGGTGCAGTCGCTCTTCCTGGTGCTCAGCAGACCACAACAGTAGATATCTGGAGAAGGAGGAACACAAAGACATACCATGATTCAACATAAAACCCTGTATAATGTGTGTTCATTTGTCATTGTTTCACACTTCTCTGTGGTAAAGTTCATTCGATTTTTCCTGCCTCTGATGTAAACATCTCTCTTGACTCTCTCGGCTCTGTTACTTCCTTTCTCCTTCACGTCTTTTCTGTCTTTTGTTATTTCTGTTTGTCATCTTATCCAATTTCTTTATTTCCTACATGAGCGAGCAGTGGTCAAACAATCATGAGGGTGACTGCAGCTGTTTTTTTTTTCTGCACTCCATTTGAAGAATGATTTCTCTCTGTACTTTTATTGTGTGTGTGTGTGCGGTTCGGGCTGATTAACTCAGTTAATTAATCCAGGCTGATAAATTTTGAAAGAAAACTCTCAGACAATTCCTTCATAAGCCCAGAACACAGAGTATTCCTGGCTGAATGCCTCGCGGTAGCTTCATCTAATTAGGATGACAAATATTGATTATATCTCCAAACTTGTTTTTCTTGACTCGGCGTCCTGCAGCTCTGCCTGGTTGAGTTTTTAATTGGCCGTCCATTATTGTTGAGCTTAAGTGCTATTGTGAGAAGTGAAGGCTAAGAAGTTGTGCAGATGGTATCATGAAACGAGACTCTTTTGTTTCGTTTGTTTGAATTCTTGTTTTCTGCCTTTCATTGTTAATCTTTTATGGCATGATAACTCTGGGCGGGGTAACGCTTTACAATAACCATCATTTATAAATGGTAAATAGATAGTTTATTAATGTTTAATTATCATTTAAAAACAGCACAAAGACCAATATAAATGGAAAATAGATAGTTTATTAATGTAAGTTTCAACATTAAGAGGCAATGAAATGATGATTAATAACTTTCATTGATTATTAATAGACTATTTATTAAAGGTTTATATAGGGTTTAAATATTGGTTGTAAAACATCTAGATTAAAATGTGTGTAAATGGTTAATATTTGGTTTTTAAAACCATCTATAAACATTACTTAAAAGGTAATTGTAAAGTTGCAACTGATGTTTGTAATACTTTGTAAATGATTAATAAGTGGTTTATAAATCAGCTATGACCATTACTTAGATGGTTATTGTAAAGTTAGGGTTAGGTTTTTAAAATTGTACAACTTACAATTTATTAATAGTCTATCTGTTATTTATAAATGATGAATAAATGTGAATAAACTATCTGCTTACCGTTTATAAATGGTCTATTTACCATTTTTAAGTTATGGTTATTGTAAAGTGTTACCCTGGGCAGTAACTTCTGGAAATGTAAAGAATAAAACAACCCTCACAATAGGAGGAAGCCTTTATAATTAAAGATGGCTGAGGCAGAATGTGTCATGATATGTTCTGTTGTTCCCCTGGTTTTGGTGAATTGAGTGTATTTTCCCTCGTGTTTCTGTGCCCTGTTGTTCCTGTCCCCCTGTAGTCTTGTCTTGTGAGTTTTCAGGTTTGTGTCTGAGCCTGTTTCTCTCATGTTCTCAGTGTTTTATTCTATAATCAGTTTTCATTGTTTCCTGTTTTTTGTGTTTCTAGTCTTGTTTTACTTCTTCAGTTTTCCCTCCTTAGTAATTGTCTGCACCTGTGTCTCAGTGTCTCACCTGCCTCTCATTGCTCGTTTCCCTGTGTGTGTATAATATATGGTCCTTGTCTTCCCCTGTTTCTGTGTCGGTTCATTGTATTTTTTGGTTCTTTGGATTTTGCCATTTGTGTTTCTTGATTTTCTTCGAGTTGGACCATTTGGAAAGTAAGTTTTTGTTTTTTCTTTTAGTTCCTTTTTAAATAAATCCTCTTTTTTGTTCTGCATTTTGGGTTCTTCCTTTCTTTGTTTGACTCCAAACCGTGACAGAATGGGCACGAAAACTGGAGTCCTGAGGAAAGTCGCATCACAAATCTTTATTTTTTGAAGATAACAAGGTGTTAGAAGCTAAGACGCAAAACCCTCCTGGGTGTCAGAAGCTGTCATTATCAGATATTAAACAGTGTTTCATTTAGGAGTCAAATCAAGCGTCCACTTTACCTATCGATTAAGTGCAGCAGGACAGTTTTACAGTTAATATTGGTTGACTGGCACAAACAAACTCCGACGGTTTGTTTGTTAGCAAAGTGCATCAGATGCTCACTCTTAATTTACACGTTCTCATCTATTTGAAGATGTTTTTCTTGTTTGTAAAGACAGATATAGAAAACATCTTTCTTTGAGCTCAATGTAAATCAGCGAAGTCTCATTTGAAGGTGAAATGCAACAGACTGCTGTCCTCTCTGTGCTGCTTAGCCCGAGGACGCAATCTTCACAACATGATTAAAAATAAATTGGCCAATAAAATATGCAAAAGGGAGGAAGATGAGACAAGGACAGAAGTTATAACTCTACATTAAGTAGGATTTAAAAAGAGAGAACCAGAGATGAGAGGGAAGTAGAAACAAACATAGACGGGGTTTCATTCAGGTGACATGGAGAAGAAAAGATAATATCTACGTCTGTTTGTTTGCACACCTTGTTTGCTGAATTCTGTGAAGAGACCGAGGCTGGTGATGGACGGCCCGGTGAAGATGATCGTGTTCTTGCCAGAGATGTTCTGGCAGAGCTGCTTAGCCACCAGACTGTGGAGCTGAGGCTTGTTCTTCAAGGTGGCGAGACCGTCTGTGCCCTGGCCCTCCTTCAGATGGACTGAGATCTGCAGAGTGGGAGGATGGAGACAGGAGACTTAAATTAATGAGAGATAGATCCAGAAAACTAAACTTCATTTTGTTGTTAAGCACTCTTTCATTGTCTTCTCTGCCAAGGAGTACACCTGACTGTCAATCAAATAAGTGGTGCTACTAATTATGAAAAACTTGTAACTTTGATATCTTCAAAAATAATGCGTTAATAAAATATTTCCCCCCTGTAGAGTGTGTGCAGATAGAAACACAAGCTATTCAGGCAAACAACCTTTTTCAAGCTCGCTGTAAACATTACTATTTGTGTTCTTATGACATGCTTTTTAGATTGGGTGTGCATGTAATGTGGCTTTCAGGGCTTCAAAAACCCACCTTGTGTAGGCGCTGTAGGTACTGCAGTTTTTAGCTCTTCTAAATTGGCGTCATCTCTCAGTAAGCAAGTTGCCCCTTGGTCATGAGTATGTGGGTCATGCTACCTTTACACTGACCCTCTCTGTTGTAGAGACTTGAGAAACAAGAGCTCTCTTTCCACTTCCTGTGTCTTATTATCTTAGTATTATATCAGTCAGTAGCTATTAGTTATTGACGACATTTGGTAATATAACAATATCACTGTGTTTTGTTACATCTGTGTAGTCAACAGTTTAAATTTTTTGAGTGGCCCGCTCTTTCTGACTGTAAACAAAGCCATTCTCTGCCTTCCCCAACCTGATTGGTTGTGAGGCAGACACTGCTCACCCGTGTCGTTCACGAGCCCAAACAAAGTCAGCGTGCTACAATATCGGACAGTAGAAACCAACCATAAAGTACGGAAAATTTTCTGAATCCTCCTTTGGCCACGACTGCCAACGCAAGCAAGAAAACAAAGTAAATACCTCTGGAGACTCTGGTGGAATAATGGGCGTTTAAAATTGGGGTAGACCGGACAAAAGCTAAGAAGCCGGGTCAACATCAGCATAAATGATGGGGGAGCTTCGAGATCTTACGGACCCTGTAACCTTTCTACTGGACAGGGAAACCGCTTTAACAAAGTAAGCCAAGTGTCTGTAACAGAAGTGTTTCTTGTCAAACGGGACCTGCTGCGTGTCGTGGCAACACTAAACTGTTAACCTCGGGTCCTGGAGTATGTCACTTTATCCTAGTTGTAGAAGTCCTGCAAACATTGTGTTTGCTGGTAGTCTGTTAGCATCTACAGTAGCACCAATGCTTTTTACTTTCACGCTGACTAGGCCCCATTTGTAATTATCTGAAGTATTTATCTGCATTATATCTGAATTTAATTAAAACGATACGAGCGAGCAGGAGCGTCTGTTTGTGGGCGGGGAGAGGAGGAGCTGAGGGGAAAACTGGTTGGGAGGGGTAGTGTTTACATTCAAGATTTCTCCCACAAAACTGGCACTTCCTCAGATCCTGCCTACCCCACCTTTAATGTAAAATCAAATTTATTTGGAAGGATGTAGTGGGCTTCCACGGTGTACCTGTTATTTGCTTGAGTGCTCTTTTCTTCAACAATGTTGTAAAATGAAGCGTTAGAAGGCCTGCAGGATGTCAGCGGATTCATTTATGGAGGACATGACAGTCTCATAAAACTGAATTTCTTATCAAGATGAACTGACTATGAGCATCCTCAGTCTAAGTCAATGTGAGGTTCTATGATGCATGAAATTTCCTCTCCCTCACATTCACTGTGCTTCTTTTCTACCAGAGAGTCCAAAGTATCCAAAATAATAGGTTCATCCAGAGTTCACTGAAGTTTCGGTGAACATGAAAGTAAGCCTGTACTTTACAGAGGGCTCTAATAATTCAAAGCTTCCCAAAATATCTATAATTTTACATAAAACGTCTTAGAAAGAAAAAGATTAGGAGGCTGTTGAACATTAAGAGAGACAGACTGGATATATTGAGCAGCAATAAGACAGACTGGGCTTTGATTTATGGCTCAACACACTGCTACATGATGCTTTTCAGAATAAAAGTCTCAATGGAAATGACATGAGCGCTCATCTTCCACAGAAAACCATTATCATGTGTAGAAAGTGAAACGCACACCCACAAACTGCCGTGTCCCTCTAGCAGCACTTTCATTTCTCCAGTTGCTCGCAAACTCAACAGCATTAGCCAGATTAGCCGGCATCTACGTCAAGCCTTCAGCTATTACACTAAGTGGTCAGTCTATGCCTCTGTGTGTTTGTGTGTTTGTGGAGCACCGGCTAATGGAATCTCATTGATTCGCTCCATTAACTCGTTTTATTTCTTGGATTTTTTTTTTCTCACTCCCTCGACACAATTCATTTAGAGAGAGAGAGAGAGAGAGAGAGGATGTGATTGCAGACACACGCGGCGCGTGCAGAGGACTAGTAAATACTGAGCGGCAGCCAAGCGGCCACAGTCACAGTAAATCATAACGATTATACATGTTGAACGGATAGGATCACTGAATACAACAGCCTGTCATGCCTTTTATGCAAAATTTGTTTTAAAATGGTGATTAAGCGTAAGAGGGGATTCATGAGAGGCTTGATTCATCAGTTAATGTGTTTAAAATACAGCAACAGTACCAGAGGAAAGAGAGAAATGCACAAATTGAAATTCTGATCATGGTTGGACTCTCCTCTAATGTCATTTTGGACTTCTTCCAGGCTAAAAATGGAAACCTCCTCTCTGCAGCACGGTTCTCCGTCTCAGACTTATACATTTATTTGCAGTTGAAGGGCCTCTTTATACAATCTTATGTCTTGCATGGTTGTACTTTCTTGCAAATATCTCTGCAGCTCTAAATGCAGATTTTCTCAGCAGTATCTCTGAATGTCTTTTACTTCTGTTAAAGCACAAAAGTCAAATCCATATCACTATACTACTTGCATTTTTAAGGCCAGATACACAATTTAACGACACGATAGTCACTTATATGCAACAGTTTGAATATTTCGTGATGGTACTCTTGCTTTTGCATTTCTTCAAGATAGCCGTTCAAATGATTTCAGTGTGCGTGTGGGTGGGTGAAGAGAAGGAGAACAATATCAGTAAACCAGAATACAAGAATAGAAAATCACTTTCGCAACTTGCACTCCAGTTTCCAAGTCATGTGGTTTACTGGTTTAGAAGTGCTTTCACTTGCAGTTTTCCGAGGATCTTGTCTCACTAAGACTGTTCAGTTGTAAGACAGCTATCTAAATCCCCCTGCATGAGATTTAACCACACGAAATTAAAAAAGCACAGCTTCTTGTTGTCGTGGTGCCCAATATTTCTCCTCTGTCCTCTCCTCTGCAGTGGTCAGGGTTGGACAGGTCCGTCTGTCTCTTCTCCTGCAGAGCCAGGCTCCGGTTAAATGACGATGTTACGTAATCAAATGATGCAGGAGTGGCAGGTTGCATCAAGGCCAAGGTTGTTGGCAAGCAGATCAGGTTTTCCTGCCTGATGTGACAACTCTGTTCAAACCTGAGCTAGCTATTTGACTCTAAAACGAAATAATAAAGCAAAATAATGAATTTTCTATTTTTGTATTCTGTAAAACTATTTCTAGAAAGCAATGCACACAAACTTAAATGCACTCATTCTGTCCTGTACCTGCAACTGGCATCAAAACTTTGCACAATTCAAAGAATCTAACAGCCAGATGGTGGTTTCACTTTCTAGATGATTATGATTATTTTATGAACTCAAACTCTGCACAAAAAGCCTGGAAAAGTTTTTGATTACATCACAAGCTCTCTTTTTCCTGTTTCTTTAAATAGTCTGAAAATATGGGGCAAAATCGTCAATCTGAGTAAGAGATTAAGACTCTCTGTAAGATCAAAGTCTGATGCTTTTAAAAGAATATATTTTTGACCTCAGGCAGAACGGAGTCTGTAATAATCTTCATGCAAAAATAAATTGCCATATCGTTTTAAGAGCGAACACCAAATTATTATCAACCTCTTTATCTCCACTCTTAAATCAGAACTGTGACCATGTCGATCTGATTTTTCAAACTTTTCTCCTCGTACCATAAATCACAGAGCTCAAATGTGCTCCTACCTGACAGATGAATCCAGTAGAGGTACACTGTCGCACCCAGAGGCTGAACTTCCGCTTCTTCCTCTTCCTCAGCTCTCTTTCTGTACAGGTGGTGATGAATACTGGGTCCTCATCTATTAGGGGCTCATGAAGAACCTGCAAACACACACAGGAAATCTCGTTGTTACTGCATGTGGGATTTTCTTTCTTGTCAACCATGTCACACATACAAGTTGTACGACTGGAGAAACAGTTGGCTTTCACAAAGGAGAAACACTTTTATTGTCTTGAGAATCAGGAGTGAGACTGTAAATCACGTAATATAACAGCTCAGTGTTCGGAAAAGGCAGCCAAACAAAGATCTGCGCAAGTTCCCGTAAGTGTTTGAAGGTGATACCAGAGAGAGAAAATGTTCTCAGCAGAAATACTATCTCAAATGTGCAGCTTTGTCTGCAGAAAGGAAGAGGACAGAAAATTCTCACTTGTCAGTTTTACTTCTTTCTGTTTTTAAGTTGCTTGAATTGAATGTTTTCCCCTTCAGAATATCCTCTTCATCTGTCTCACTGCTATTTTCCCATGACCACAAAAAGGACAACACTTGAGTCGTGAGCTTTTATATTCTATCTTCAGACCAAACCTGAGAAAATTTGACAAAAAAACCCATAAAAGTACACATTGCAGGACTGATACCTTTTTTTATTTTTTAATGGCACCACATGAGAAGAAACTTCTTTTGAGTGTGAATTTTGTCAGATGCAATAAATTCAATGGGTCCAGAGGGAAAATATTTGAGAAAAGAAGTAAGGACAAATACCAGGAGTCATGTCCTCTTTGATGTGTGGGGAAATTTGACTAAAATTGAGATATAATGGACAATAAATGCATCAAAAAGCAACTCTACCGGCACAACCTGATCACACACATCACACTAAAAGGAGTTATAGTACATCTAGAGGGCAGTTTATGGCTTCATCCTTCCAGAGGGTAAGTTTAAAATAGTATTGGCACACAACTTAAAGGGTAGGCATAAATATGTTGGGGAATTTTGAGGAGAACCAAGAAACATGGGAAGTCCAGAGCCGAGGAAAACATACTGCAAACAACCGTGAACAGGATTCAAACGAGCAACCACTGCATTGAGGAGCGCTCAGACCACTATCAGCAACCCAACATGGAGGATATGTCTATAATTACTTTATAATTAGAGCAAAAATATTTTAGATTAGTGATTAATAGCTGATCTTTAAGGAAACCAGAGCATAAATTAGCTTCAAGTGTGTTAGGGGACTGGTTGAGTGATAAACAGAAAAGTTTGACTGAACCATGAATGAAAATATTGAGTTTAATGTTAATTTGACCCACTAGCATGTTGACCCACCTCTGCTCGCCTCACTTTGTGTAATCACCAGCTAACTGTGCATTAACCTTACCTATAATACCAGCAGTGAGGATTCAATGCCATAAAATGAATTGTACTGCTGTTCATTAAAGTCACATCGAACTCATTCATCATGAAAAATTCATCTTTTTAACACTTTTATTTCACTATAATAGTGTTAGGGTGATTTTCTTTGGCCTGTCATGTCAGCCTTTAGGGTGGTGGAGCTGTGTCACTCAAATATCTTGGATTCTTTGGCGCTAGATTTCTGGAGTCATGGGCCTCCAACAACCATCCTCGAGAAGGACCTTGTACCCATGTTTAACATCACTCAGGCTCCCAAAATATGTTTGTTATTACCTTACATGGATTCTCCCTCAGGTCAACAAGATGCAAGCAGAATGTTTGGAAACGTGGACAACTATATATACTTGAACAGTCTGACCAGTCTTTGTTACACTTGTGGCATGATGAAGCTGTAACCCAGATCTGCCACCAGTAAAACTTGTCAAAATGATCATTCGTGTGGACCTCCCATTCTTTAAAGCGTGAACATGGGCAAGGCATCCTTACAAATCAGAAAATAAACATCTTTACATTTTTGGACTGTTTTGGATCGAGTGGTCTCTGCGGAAAGTCTTTTCTATGGACAGCACAGACTTTAAAACTACCACAAAATTGGCAAACATGTCGTCAAAAGACTCAAAGTAAATCTTAAAAGTAGGCTAAACCATTCTAACTCCCTGTTGGTTAGTTTCCCCCTAACATCCTCTCTCTTTTCTCTAAATAGAAGATGGGTCAGATCAGAGGATTAGTGTCCGTGTGGGGATTACAGAGTGTATTACAACAGGCTGACATTCACGAACCCAAACACAAACAAACACGAGGCCCCGATAGAAATCACACACATGAAACTGACTTTCAAACCCTTTTTTCTGGGGCGGTCAAACCAGTGCAACACACCTCAAACCTGACCGAACATCTCTTTCAACCACATGACAAATATTTGCATTTCAAATTGGCTTCCCCTGCCTCCCCCATCTCCTGCATGGCTCCGTCATGATTTGACTAAAGATGGAAAGAGAGAGAGGCAACAACAAACAGCTCTCTCTCTCTCTCTCTCTTGAGAGCAACAAGTCATTTTGAAGTCAAATATAGAGTTATAGATTAAACAAGTGGAAAACTAATGAGCCTATTAGGCCTTAGACGGATGACATCACCAAACCACAATGGCCTCTTAAGAGATATTTCATCTTGTAGTTGCCTCATTAGCTCAGTGGTATATCCCCATATCCCCACAGCTGATCACAGGGTGGTCACATTTGCACATGGGTGCTTCTAGTAAATCATTTGCATGGCTTCACTCATCCTGTACTGAACCAAGAGAGGAAGAAAATCCATCATTGCATGCTGTCTTGCAGCGGTGGTTCTGTGAGGACTGATAAATGCTCTCAAAGATTTTACACTGGCGAATCAATATGAAGCAGTGTCGACAGATTATTGTCAGGGACTGCAAAACTGCCAGATAGACACGGACGATGTGGAGCATGACTGTCACAAGGTGCTGGCATTACATGCTAACATTCAGTGGTGTTAATGGCCACATATCAACACCCCAGTTCACATATTAACACACACACACACACACACACACACACACACACACACACACACACACACACACACACACACACACACACACACACACACACACTCTCGCTTGGTTGGTAGATACATCAGGGTCAGGCAGGCATAGATATTGAAAAATAACCCGTTTTTGAATGAACAAAGAGTTTACATAAGTATTTCTATTTGTTTTTGGCAGAAATATGCAAAAAAAATACATCTCAACAAGTGTTTCTGTTTAGTTTCTAGTCAAATCATTTCAAATTCAGCACATCTTCTAAACTGCATAATTGCTCAGCCAACTGAAAATATAAACAACAGATTTACTGTTAATAACCTAATCATTATTTCAGCCAGAACTAACGCATCCCCCCTTTTCATGCGTCTGAATCCCATTAAACGAACAGATTTTTTTCCCATCATCAGTGAAGCAACAGTTCCAGTCTGTGCCACTCTCACTATCTGGGCTCGCTCTCTGCCCCCCGGCACAGAAAACTCACAGATAAGACAAACTGTCCTAGATACACACATACTGTCACTGCTAATAACACATGCACACACACACACACACGCACAGAAGCTGTCTGAAATCCGACGTGCCCTCAATGTTTCAGTTTAGTCATTTTTAGATCTAAGTGTATGAAAAGTTCTGATGTGAAACCGCAGCTCGACAAACCCTCTGCAGAGAGGACGCTGCGTTTACTGAACAAATGTTATATTTAAACTGTTTTGATAAGGAGAATAACTGCAGGAGGAGATGTGCTACGAGAAGGAGGCCGTAGTTAAGAGTCTGTATTGCCAAAATGCATCACAGCACTGACATCATCCCTCAGATTGAGGATGATGTTATAGCAGTCAAACTGAAGAAGGCAATTTAATCAACTTCTTCCCAGAAAAGTCATTAATTTTTAAGAGCTCAACAGCAGCTGCAAGGGTGTCTCCAGATCTCACTGGAATATGATTAGCCACCCCTGGTGCTCTCCTCTTAACCAGATTGTGAATAAGCGAATGTTTTGTTATACTAATGGAAGAACATGACGCACAATGAGAAAAGTAGTGGCATACAGTGGAAGCATAGGCATCCAATATCAAACCAAAGAGTCTGAAGTAAAAGGTTATTTTAAGGGAACTGAAATTGGAAAGTCTGGAGCAAAATGACATGCTCTGGTTTATTCTCCTCCTCCTTTGAATTGCACACTCACTGAGCTATTAATATCAACAATTCATGTTTGATTTCCATCTTCCAGGTGGAAGTAAACACGGATGAGTGATTGCTGCTGTTTTGTTTTGCTGAAGAAGAGCACTTCTGCTTGTTTTTTTTGTTATCTAATAATACAGTCATCAATTTTGACAAGAGCATAACAGCAAGAAGAATGAAAGTTAATTATATTGAACTGTTTCAGCTTCAATCAGGCTGCTTATTCGTGAATGCTGCTCATCTGGAGAGGAAAGTAAAGCAGGAGTTGAATAAACTCCAGCCCACCCAAAATAGAGTAGCATTTCTGGCGCTCTACTGCCCCAGTTGCATTAATGTAGATCTAACAGTGCTCACGGTGCATCTAGAAACAAGCTGAATAAAGTCCTCTGCAGGGGAACTCTGTAAAAGTTGAGTGCTTTACTAAAGTACATGCTTTGCAGGAGCTATTAGTCGGTTCTTTCAACTTTAAAAGTAAATCCTTTTATGTTTTATTTTGAAAGGTAAGCGGGGAATTCTTAACTACTGTATTAAAAATGAATGTATACTTTAGAGTGAAACAGTTCCTGCAATGAAAAACCTGAAAGCTGAGTATAAAAGAGATACAGCAACCTTTGCAGATTTCATTCTTTTTGCCTCTGAAGTTGAAAGGTATAATAATAAATTTAGCAAAGACAAGAAAGTGTTGGGTGTGAAAGGAGAAACAATATGAGAAAACTGAGATACAGAAAACAGAATGGAGTACACATACCTGTGTCTGCGACGGTCTGAAGGTGCAGCCGAACGACTGCTGCAGGGAGTCCAGGAACGGCTGGATTTTGTACAAGCCCTGGTTGCTTCCCTGTGACGGCCTGAAAGCCACAATGTGGAAGTACTTGAGGATCTTCTCGAATCGTGCCTGGCTCATCTTCAAGGCGATGCTCCTGTTGCTGAAGAAGCCTGAGCTCCAAATGCTGAGCACTGACTCACAGCGCTGCACGCTGGTGGAGATGACAAAGCCCAGGAAGGCCTTTATCTCCTGGGCCGTGACCGGACGCCAGCCTTCGTCCGAGCCGAAGCGCTCCTGGAATTTCTTAGCGTACATGTTAGTTTGGGTGACCATGTTCTGGATGCAATTATCTGGAACGAAGAGCTGGAAGAAGTCCATGGCAGTGGCCGTGGCTGGCATCTTCTGAGCGGGGCCTGGATCAGGACAGGAGGAGAAAAAAAAGTGTGAAAAATCAGAAGCAGATTGATAGATAGAAAGTCCCATATGGGCTAACTCAAAGCCAACTCACCACTCCATCCTAGTTCTTAAACTTTGGAAAACAGCCTTCAATTTGACTGACTTTGACGGGGGAAAAAAAAACTCTTTAGACACTGCGAGAGATGATAAAACTTGAAGTTTGGAGCTGTCACTGTCAAGGCTGTGTGGGATGCGCATAAACCATTTATTCATTTTATAAACTGCATTGTCCTCGCAAAAAGAAAAAACAACAGGAAGGACATCCATTCATTAAGGAGGCACAAAAACTGTTTTGAAGCGTCAGAAAAACACATTGACAGAGTCGTGCTTTTTCATGTCACAGCCGAGGCAGCTTTTAGTTTGAATGTCAGCAGCCCAGGGCAGCGGTTAGATTGTTTACACAACATGACAGCCACCACACTGTGATCCTTGTCACAGCGCCGTGTTCTCAATGCTGCTGGAAGGTTTGCGTGTCTGGTACCTTTGGTGTTTTGGCAGGCATGGAGTCAAAATCATGTTATGATCTGAGCGACAATACAACAGAGAGCCATGACTGATGTTATACTGTCATAATAGTTGAAGGGACTGACACTTACATACAAAAAAGTAGGTATAAAAATGTCCAAGTACTCATCATATATTAGTTTCAAAAAAGGGTTATTTGGTAGAAAGATAGAGTATCTGCTCAGTTTGTGAGAATAAATTGGGAATTAGTCATATCAAGTCAAACTGAGATGTGACCTTATTAAATTTCATGTGCAGAGACCAGCAAGCAGAAGATGAAACAACTGATAGACAGTTAAAATGAATCACTTCGAGTGTGAATTAACTTCCTCAGTCAAAAGGGAACAGGGTTGAAACGACTAAAGAAACTGATTAATGGAATAAACTAAAAGGACAGAAAGAATAAAACACATTTTGCAGTGTCAAAAGTTACCTCAAAATATTTACTGATGGACAGTTAGGCTATCTCACTACATAAACAGATCAAATCAGCCTCAGAGCAAAAACTACAAATGTTTTAATGAAGTTTCAGACATGGTTAATCATAAACCAGAAGTAAAATATATGCTGGTTAAAGTTTTAATTGATTTAGGGGACCTCTACCCAAAGTGAAACCCCATATCCCTTTGCTGATACGGTCCTCTATAAGTCAAACATTTCTTGCTCTCAAAATTTTCTGTTTCAAAAAGTAAAAGGGATTTTTCTACACCATGTTGTTAATTGTCTCATCTGACTCATACTCTCTTGCAGTGGTGAAAATTATAATAAAGAACCTTTCACTCATTTTGCTATAGTATTGTTTGATTTTTGTGAGTCATAATGTGGCCTCATCGTAAAATTCAACATGTTTCATAAACAGTTAAAATATATAACTTAGGTTTAAAGTTTTTTGCTTAAAGTACTAAAAAATAGTTGGCTAAAATAAAATTGAAAAATTAGTTTAAGATAAAGTATATATCTTTCACAGGTAAGATTGAATTGTCGGTGGGTCCTCTCCTCAGATAACAGAATGACTATTTTTCTGCCTTATCAATTATCTGATTTCTTACATGTCTTGACATTTACAAGTAATTGACATTTACATTAACATCTTAACATAGAGCTCTCCATCTGGAGTCTTTTAGGCATGGCAGTAAAGTCAAGGAGTCAGTTCACGACACAGTGACTGTGATTGCTGTATTTGCGCTTGTTAATGAGAGATTTACTCAAAGGCTGCAGGGAGGGAACTTAGACAACGAGTCAAACAACTTTGGGCTGAACTCAACAGCACCGTCTCATTATCTCTGAACAGCGCAGAACCAAATCTTTACTGTCTCTCTGCAGCCTCGAGATGTTTGGATGACCAAAAGCAAAATGATGATGAACTTTTGCTTCAGTCTTTTAATGTTAAATTAAAGTTATAATGTACGAGACTTTAACCTTGGCTGTTAAAGTCATATGTGGAGGAGGACAAGAAGAGGAAATACAAACACAGGGAACTGAAGGAAGCCCACAAAGCTGACGCCTAAAGCCAAGCTAGGAAAAAGTAGTGGGGACTGCTTGCCTCTTATTTGCATACCATCAGACTACAGCTGAAAGTAAAATCCAGCGTGACTTCCTTAGGGTGATTCACTCCTTAATAAAAACATCAGACAGTCAGATTGAAGGTCCATTGAGGCGAAATGACTCATTTCAGCTCATTTTGGAAGTGAACCAAAATCCAGCCTGAAGAGGACCGCAGTATTTATATGGAAACAGAAATATTTCTGTTGATTTCTCCTCACACCCCTGTCAGCTGATCTTCAATCCAGCCTTCATTGCTCTGATTAAAACTGGCTCAAACGTTTATAGTCTTCGTCTTTAAGATCGCTTCTGTCATCCAATGTTAAGGAAGCTTTGAAACATCCATTTCCACGTTACTCATTAGAAAAAATCCTGCTGTGGCGCATACACAGACACAAGTATAATCCCTCATGACAGTTGTAGTATTTCTATTGTCAGGGGAAGAACATCTGCCAGGTGGAGCGTTTACAGTCATGGATTTAACAAAGAGAGATTAGAGTGTTTATGTGGGTTAGGGGTAAACCTATCATGCAGACAAAGCAGCCTTAAGCTTATCGTGGAAATTATATAAGAGCGCTTATGTCTGACTTTTTTTTCAGGTGAATTAAAGCTGCATACATCCCTTTACTACCAGATTCCCTAAACTCAGTAGAATAATCATTAGCAAGCTTGAAATAATCTTTGTCCTAGAGAGCTGTTGCTGTGCACAGATGTGTATTGATAGACGTTTTTGATAGTAAAAACTTCAAGCAAATTGAGGATCATAATTATCTTGCACCGCAGGGCTTCTTGTCCTCAAAGGCCACCGTCGCTTCACAAACACATAGGGTGAGCAAGGAAGTGTTTCTATCATCTGGTTTATGGATATGACTAAATATTCCCATTTTTAACACACTGTTCCTTCAAGAGACTCTATTTTAAATAGACTAGTACTATCAAAATCATAAGAAATCTAATGAGCAGATGATTAAAAACTCTGAACTCACTAACCTTAATGCAGAAAACTGAAAAAGCTGCTATGGCGAGTTCATTTAATTTTAATCTGATTCTACAAGAGGGAAATGTTTTGAAAGTAGTTTATTATTTTTCTTTTGTACTAAACTAGAGACTCTAAATCCATCTAAAAGCCAGCATACCTCAGAGAGATGAATAATGTTGCCTTACAGTGTATTTTTCCTGTATTTCTTTGCTTTAGTTTTCTATATGAATTCCAAATAGATATATAATCTAATTTGCGTGTCTGTGTCTGTGTGTTTTGTTCACGATGACTCTGCAAATGGAAGAAACAAAACGTAGACAAGACAGAGAGAAAAACACAGCCAGGGAGATAAAGTGACATAACACGGGCAGTACGAGTAATCTATCAGACATGTCCAGCAGCGAATGAATAAATAGCTTTTTAATTCCCTTGAACATCATAATAAAGTGGTTATATAATCTAAGACGTAGCTGTATGCTTTATAATCCTTGCCCCGGTCCTTTACCTCTGACTGCCCTGCAGGGTAAACAGTCTCACTTCACCTCTGAACTCGTGCTAAACAAGTAAATCACATTTTTCTGCAAGCCAACGTGTTTTCAAGGCTCTGCTCCTGTGAGAAAAAAATGGAGTAGTCTCTGCTGTGACTGTACACACACCTAAAACATAACCTAGTTCGAATAGGGGGCAGTTTGCACAGGGTTGACTCGATGCTTTCTGACGGAGGCTGATGATTTATGTACGGGCTGCACAGTCTCCTAGGATGGGAGCTGTCACTTCAACACTGGGTCTGTGTCAGCACTGTCACTGCTGAAAAGTAAGACACATAGAGGGGCAGAGAAGTGGATGGAGAAGTCGACAGACAGGTGACAAAAAGACAGCCAGGCAGGTTGGCAGAGAGCTAGACTGAGAGAAATCCTGGAGCTGCAGGACAAAAATACCACAGAAGATATTTCCACTGTGGATCAACTTAGTGGAAACCTCATCAAGCTTAAGCAGCCTCTCATCTCTGGCCATTTAAAAGCAGTGGAAAGACACGGTTATGTAGATATGCTATTGCTCAGGATGTTTCACTCTTCACTCTTAAGGCCGATTAAATCAGAGATCGCTCTCCAAGCTTTAAAGTGTGATTACGCTCCCTGGCTGTTCGGAGTCCATCCAGTCAGGCAGCTCTTAATCATCACAACCCTGGAGCAGGATGGCGGGACACACCCACACCGTCTGAGCTTGAGCAAACAGACGCTAACTGTATCTTGTGGAAAAGAAAAAAAAAAAAAACAGACCAGACTGTACAAAGCAGATAGACACACACCTGCTGGCTCTCCGGCTTAAGTCAACAGAGCAAAAAACAAGCTGGTAGAGAAAAGGATGGAAGGATATGAATGGCAGTGTAAAGCATCCTGTAAATCTACTCTCACCAAACTGCTTCTTATAGTGCACCATCATCGCACGATCTGGTTCACATTATTTTGGATGGATAAAATAGTTACAACCCATATCTGGGTTGTATCTCAAAAGGATTACTGAAGTTAAAGCTCCTGTGGGAAACTTTCTGTCTGTATTCGTTGTGGTGCCCCCTTGTGGACAAAGCAGTCTTTGCTTATCTTGTCCTCTGCTCAACTCTCAACTTAACTCAACTTTATTTATAGAGCACTTTAAAAACTACCAAAGCTGACAAAAAGTGCCGTACATAATAACATAAAACAAGAATAAATAGTTGTTATAAAACATAAAGCAATAAAACAAATGGTGTCTCATGCTGGGTCAAAAGCCGAGGAGTAAAAGTGCTACATGCTTAAATAGTGTCTTTCACAGAAATCTCATCCTGCTGACTTTTAGAGTCAAATATAGAAGTTATTGTGACTACTTTAGTGGGAAATGTAAAAACAGACCCCTCACACCAATGTCAAGCATTGAAAATTACAAAACCAAAGTGGTGACAATTGTGTTTGCTTTTGAGTATCAAAAAAGGGTATTTAGTTCAATTTTTGACTTTTTCATTAATGTCCAAAAACTCCTCGCAGGTGCTTTAAGTTTCATTGGAAATCACTCAGATACAGAAGATGAACAATGATGACGATGATGATGCATCAGATTTCATATAGTGCTTCATCAGAGACCCTCAAAGCGCTTTATATTGGATACATCACTCACGCACTCACACAGTCACACCTTGGTGGTGGTAGACTACCTTAGTAGTCACAGCTGCCCTGGAGAAGACTGACAGAAACCTGGCTACCAGTTTGCGCCTACGGCCTCTCTGACCACCACCATACAACACTCACAATCATACACCAGTGGAGGACACACACTGGGAGCAAGGTGGGTTAAGTGTCTTACCCAAGGACACAACGGACAGACTAGGGATAGGGGAGAATCGAACCACGAAACCTTACGATTATTGGACGATCGCTCTACCTCCTGAGCTACTGCCATCCCAAAATCAACAAACAAGATCAAATCGAGTCAGTCCAGGTTTTGGTGGATGTCCTGCTCACTAATCCTGCTTTCCATGATGAGCCAATGCCATCAGCCTTCAATGGGCTCTATATCGCACATGAAGCTTCAAGTTAAAACTTTTAATTGAAGATCATCTCTGGTCTTTTATTTGGAAAAAAAATGTCATTGTTAATGTTTTTGAACCAACTGTCTACTGTGTATTGATGATATTGCCGCTGATGAAGCCAGTTTTTCTAGACCTCTATATCACTTTGTGTTTTGGGGTTATTTAGGAATGAAGGGTGGTGTTGTCAATCTGCTGGTCATTGTTTACAATCCAACTCAGAATTAAGACATGTCAAAAGCTGATTTGTTGGGTGTATTTGAATGCATTTGTGTTCATAGTGATTGATAGTTTGCCCAGTCATCCTCAGACAATAGCAGATGGGTTGTGGATTTCATTAACTAAAGGTGTTGTCTCGTTTTCCTGCCTGTGTCCTCTGCAGCTCCAGTGAATAATACTTCTCACACAAGAGACAGAAACAAGAGGCAAGCTTCCTACACAAAATCTGGTTGTCTCTCACCTGGTTAACCTCTGCCCATAGATGATATTCTACACATAACACTCCAGTCTTTGCTTCTGAGCAGCAGACTAAGGTTCACCTCCAAAGATGCTGCAGTCTAACATGTAACAGTAGATGCTGAATGGCATTTCTACCTCCCAGCTTGAAGGAGAGGCAGAAGAGATAAGAGAGGAGACTGCATCCATCCAAAACATGCTCATGACTCCTTTTTGTATTACTTAATGATAAATAAGCAATAATAATAGCAGCGTTCTGCAGAGACAGTACTGTAGATGCACATTTGACAAACAAAGGGCTGGAAGAAGCACGAGAACAATCTGTGAGATAATGATTGTGGGCATGTCTCTCTTGGACAGACAGAGCATTGTTTGTGCTTTTAAGCTGTCATGATTCACACACTCATCTCTCCTTTGTCTGCACACATATATTCACATGAATTCATGGAGAAGTGTCACATTAAAATCAGAGTGTCTTGAGCTTGGGTCTCAAGTTGAGAAGGACAAAGGCCAGCATGCATCAGTGCTTGTATTCTGTGATACATGTGTGTGGAACCAGAGGAGACTGCATGCTGCTTCTCTAAATTAAACAGGAGCACGTCCCCCTGCTCTGCCCTGCGACGTGAACACACACCCACCCACGGGAGAGTGTGTACCAGAGCATCAAGGGGGTGAAGTATCAAAGGCTGAGCGTTTGCAATTAACTTGGTACAGCAATTAACGATGCACTGTCATGCTCCACTCTGGGGATGCATGGACACACAGACTCACATATTGAAATGCAAATGGAAATAAATGTATTGTATTACTGAGAACCAGGGAAGCACTGTACTGCACTATGTCTCCATCCTATCACCTCACACTACCCCGATTCTTCCCTGCTGCACAAATGACCTCTTTCATTCCGTGGCGTGCATCATGTCTCACCGTATGTCTCTTTGTACGGCGGCACCGTGACATCCTGCAGAGTCTCCGTCCAGCCCTCCTCCTCCGCCTGACTCCGGGACAGCGAGCCCGGGGGACCGGCCCCGCTGCTCCCGCTGTGCCCGCTCTCCTTGTCGCCTCGTTTTTGGTGGTGGTGATGGTGGTGGTGGTGCTGATGGTGCTCATGCTCCTCGCCTGTCTCTGCTATGTAGTTATCGGAGTCGGAGTCTCCGGAGGTGCTGTAGAAGGGATTGTCGCTGCTGTCATCCGCGGACTCTCCGAATACATCGTCGGATATCTGCAGGCTCTCGTACCGGGAGCGGGCCGCTTCCAGGAGAGACAGCGCCTTCCGCCCGCACTCCGCCATCTCTCTCTGTAGTGATGCTGCTCTGCTCCCCTCTGTTACTCCCTCTGTCTCACCCAACCACTACGGTTTGACTGAGTGAGTGGTCACGATCTTCGGTGATCGTCCTTAACGTGGCGGGCAAACCCTCCCCGAGCTTGGGTATGAATTATGATCCTCGTGCCTCACCCTCCAGACTGGGGTTGCAGAGCCCTGGTGGTCGGACGCGTGCGGATCCGGGGAGAGCTGTCCGCTTCAAGGGTACTGAAATATTTCCGCCTCCTTGCTCTGCCTACAGCGCTGCGCACTGGGCAAAATTAGAGATAGTTGTAGCAGAGCTCATCCGGGTTGAGATAGCAGCGATTTCTCCATCCAGAGAGAAAATAGAGAGAGTAGTGGCTGCCACCGCATCACCTGACACCACAGCCTGCTCTCTCTCATCCAATAAAAAACATCTCATCTCATCCAAATTTGGAGGAGAGATGCTGATAGGAGCTACTAACTGGAGCTGATATTACAGAGAATATTATGCATCATTCTTTCTTTATCTGAGCATTTGAACTTATTTTTCTTTTCTGAATGATTACAAACAGAATGTTTATACATTAAATATTTTTATTTATCTGATCTGATTTTTCTCTATCTGATGATTTCACCGTGAACTTACTTTTCTTATCTTGCTTTTTTGATTACAAACATGTATTTTATATATTCAATATCTTTATTTATACCTGAGATGTTTTAAAATGTTATTTGGAGTTTACTCTGTGGTATTTCTATCCTGTCTATTGTTGGACCTTGACATTTACATTACGTTGAATTTTAATGTCATAAAATCACATTGCAAAACATATGGAATTGCTACAATACACACTTACGATTATAACCATACTGATGCACCATAGAGCACATGTTATTTCAAGTGCAATAAGCCAAAATTAGTAGCTTATATCTTTAGATAGCATATAACCTCTGTTGTAAATAAATAGCTTCCATGTTTTACAGTTTATATCAGTGCTTCTCAACTGGTGGGTCCCGACCCCAAAAGTGGGACACAGACATGTTCTGTCTGGATCGCATCTGAAGTTTGACGTCTTTCATTTAAAAAAGGCTAGTTTTTGTGCAGTTTTATATTTGTTTGACATTTTCTGTATATGCAACTTCAGTAGTTGTCGTCCTCAGTTCATCTGCTCTGAAATGAACTTTTCTCAATAAAACTGGTGTATTTGTGTTAAAGGTTTGAGTCTTTAAAGGTTATCTATAAAAGTAGGTCGTGACTTAAGGACCATGGGAAAATGTGGGTCCCAGTGAGACCCACAGATCCCACAAGTCCCAGAGTGAGACCAGTTGAGAACCACTGGTTTATATAACAGGGATAAAAATCACATGCTATCAAAACTACAACATCAAATTAATAGATTACAAATAAAGTCTGATATAAGTGATAGTACCGGTATTAGTTTTATTACCGGTGAAATTCATGTGATTAGGAAAGCAGTCCCAAAACCTTGTTGATATGTTCCGTTCACTGCCTTTAGGGGGCGCTGTAGTTTATTTCTAACTAATCTCGTGGTCCTCCGGATTCTTCTTCGTGTGTTTGTTTGCCATGTTTGCGGAAGCTTGAACCCCTCAGCTAGCAGAAGGCGTTTAACTTTTAATTTTGTTGCAGCGTAGCTGTCTGTGTGTGAGTTCAACATGAATCTACCAAAGGGACCAGAGTCCTTGTGCTTCGATAAAGATGTTTTTATGAAGGTAAGATGTCAACGGAGTTACCTTTCGTTCCGTGGCTAAGGCTAGCTTTAGCTATCAAACTAGCATCGGCCGGTTCACAGTTGACACATGATAAACATCTTTGTATTTGATCAGATATCGATAAGTGTGGATTTTTCTGCGTTTACATATCAAGTACAGTCTAGTCAAATGTGAAACACCCCAGTTGTTTGCATTAATGTTCTTTAAACACGAGCAAACGAGTGAAATGTCTTTAAACTGCATGTTTGAGAACTGAACCCTGGTCTGCTTCCCCTCAAAACTCTTTGAAAAGAGCAAGTTTGACACTTTTAAAGTTGTTGTGTGTTAGGCTGATTACCAGATGTGTGCTTGATCCTTCCATCTGCCTGTCTGTCTGTAGGAGGACTTCGATGTGGACCAGTTTGTGGCCGAGTGCCGGAAGCAGGTCCAGCTGGAGGAGATGAGAGAGGACCTGGAGCTCTACTATAAGCTGCTGAAAACGGCCATGGTGGAGCTCATCAACAAGGACTATGCCGACTTTGTGAACCTTTCTACCAACCTGGTCTGTTGCACCTCTATTGTGTTTGCATCTATTAGACATGATACCAACAGACTGAGGCAGATAGGAGAGGAGAGAGGATCTAGAAACCACAGAAAAACCCGTCCGTGCCATGACATATGATTATAATAATAATGCATATATTTATATAGCACTTTAAAAAACAATAGCTCACAAATTGCTTTAACATGCAGGAAGAAAAAGAAGATAAAACAACATAACAAGAGAACACCTGGGGAAAATGAAAATATGGCTCATCTTACCCCACTCTCCCCTTTTTATTCTCATATGCTCGCACACACATTGTAGCGTCTTTATATACTCAGACTACTCATAACATAATGAACACCTGGGCAGTCCAATGTAACTCATTACATTATGTTTGTTAATGACGTGGACAGGATCTAAGGAACACCTTTCAAATATAACTTACTTCAGTTGACAACCATCACCTACTATGTCTACTACTCAATGTTCATCATGTTGTGGCTGGTTGGTGAATATTGTCACATGTTCTTTCTTTACAGGTTGGGATGGACAAAGCCCTCAACCAGCTCTCTGTGCCACTTGGACAGCTAAGAGAAGAAGTTATGGTACATAGTTCATTATAATAAGTCAGTTCAGTTAGCTTTAAGCAGCTCTAATCATGAAGTGCTCATTGCCTGCATGGGCCTTGCATTTATGTGTTGCAGAGTATGCGATCCTGTGTGAGCGAGGTGATTGAGGCTATTGACGGTCAGCTGTCCAAACAGAAAGACCTGCAGAAGAAGAAGGTTTGGTTCCTTCTTTGACTTCATTTCATTAAACTTTGTTTTCATCATTTAGAAATGTAAAACCTGAAGTTTACAATATGAAATCTACTCATATCATAAACTTGCGAAACTGTTTCAAACTTTAGCTCTAATATTGCCTCTACCTTATTGGGATATTGACTATGTTCAAACTGTCCCATTCACAAGGTGTGTGTCCTGAGGCTGATTCAGGTGGTGCGCTCAGTGGAGAAGATTGAGAAGATCCTACACTCGCAGAACTCCAAAGAATCAAGCTCTCTGGAAATCAGCAGGTGGGAAACTCATATGCCAGCACTTAGTACACAACCCATCATTTCATGTGGACAAGGTGTTTACCAAGTAAATGCAGTTTCAATATTTATTTTACAACATTTGTTCTAGTCAGGTATGGCACAAAGGGAGTCCAACAATAGACCAAATGAAATTAATAAAACAAAACCTCTGTGCTCTCATCTTTTCAAAGCTGCATCGTAATCATCTGTGTTTGCTTTTCTTTTACTTTGAGATGTGCTTTCCAGTGTAAACAAACATCCATGTCGCAAACACATGATTAGAACCACATCAGTCGCGCATAACCTTTATATCTGGCTTCATCTTGGTTTGTCTGCCTGTTTGCAGTCCCTTGTTAGCAGGTCAGATCCTGGAGAGGATCGCTACTGAATTCAACCAGCTGCAGTTCCATGCGGTACAAAGTAAAGGCATGCCCTTACTGGACAAAGTCAGACCTGTAAGTGGAATTCAAGTCATAACTCAGTTCAACAGCTGATAAACCAATAAAGTGTCTGCCAGTCTTTTAGTTATCATCAAATGTCTCGTTCCAGTTTTGATTTTGATCGATTTTGTCCTCTTAGCTGAGGTTTCTCTGTGTTGAGTTGAATCTTTTTAGCTGTGACCTGATAGTTTCTGTCCTCTGTCAGCGTATAGCAGGAATCACCTCCATGCTGCAGCAGTCTCTGGAGGGCCTGCTGATCGAGGGGCTGCAAACATCCAATGTGGACATGGTGCGACACTGCCTGAGGACGTACGCCACCATAGATAAGACCCGAGATGCTGAGGCCTTGGTAGGACAAGTGCTGGTCAAACCATACATGGACCAGGTAAAAACATGCTGCACAGTTTTGGAGTTTTAAGCTGCACAATGGGAGTTTTTTTGTGTTGTAGAGTGGTCATACTCAGGATTGAAAAGCACCTTAGCTCACCCACCAGAAACAAAAAACATACATGTCACTAGTTTGTCTGGTCTGGGAAACTGTAGCAACATAGCAGTGCAAGATGGTGGCCTTTGTAGAAGGAGACACAATCCTCTGAGTTTATAAAAGGCTGATTCTAATTTAACAAAAACAAAAATATTTTTACAGTCAGGTGATTTAAAGTCATTTAAACATGTTTATTCATCCTAAATTCTTTTTTCGCCCATTCTGTTCTGCAAAGTACTGCTGAATACTTCACACTGTACCTTTAATGCACTGTACATCCATTACATGACTGCTTTGCTTAAGGCATTAACCTTACAAACCTGTCCTCTCCTTTTATAAGGTGATAGTAGAGGAGGTGGTGAAGTCAAATCCAAATGGTCTCCAGTTGATGTACACCAGGCTTTTGGAGTTTGTACCTCATCACTGCAGACTCCTCAAAGAGGTCACAGGTGGAGCTGTATCCAGGTATTGATGTTGTCAGTGAGGTCATTCAATTCAGAGCATGCATAGAGCATCATATCACAAGGACTTTAACGTATAATCATATATATTATCTCAGAGAGTTGAACGTGAAGGTTTTTTATTGCAAGTCTTAGATGCTGCACAATAAATAATTTTTTTTTTTTTACACATACTGATTTTTAAACTGCTGATTTCCCCTCTCACCTCAGTGACAAAGCTGACACAGTGCCAGGTTATGACTTCCTGGTGAACTCTGTGTGGCCAGAGATCATCAAAGGTATTGAGGAGAGGTTGTCTTATCTCTTTAACCCTGGAAACCCAGACATATTCTTTGAGGTAAAGCCACACTCACGCTGTTTATGTTTGTATGTATTCACTTCATAAAAAGCTGTACTGGTGTACTGTCACGTAATTTGGGCATTACACTGATAGTGCTTCTTGTCTGTGTCTGTGTTTACTGTTTACTCTCTATCTCCTGTTTTAGCGTTACAGCGCAAGCATGGAGTTTGTGCGGAAGTTTGAGCGTCAGTGCAGCTCGCAGGCCAGTGTGAAGAGGCTAAGAGTTCACCCTTTGTATACCAGCTTCAACAACAAATGGAACCTGCCTGTTTACTTTCAACTACGGTACGATTTCTCAATGTCATCAGCACAAATTGAATTTAACATATAAAGCATGTAGATGACACTTTGCAGAGCTTTTTGGAGACGAAACAGAATTGAGGGATATTTAAGACATTATACTGTAATAAAGGTTATCACAAAGGGTTGTTATGTTGGACATAGTATCATATGAAAAAATATAAGCTAGATTCAGTGATGACAGACAGATCCTAAGAGGTCTCATAATCAGTTTCTTTCTCATAGTACTGCTGAGATATGAGTTGTTGGGGCTGATTCACTGTTACTCCAAAATATCAGTGTATTTCTTGTATTTATTTATTTATTTTTTTCTAAATAAGCAATCTTTTCAGGTGTTAGGATATTTTGGAGTTCATGGCATACTGCCTGTGTGCATCTTCAACTTAGAGATACACGGATCCAATTTTTTCTGATCCAATCCAATACAAATACCTGGGCTGAGCGTTTCGGCCGATATCCGATACTGATCCAATACTACTGTTGAATGAATGAACTGTATACCTTGCCCTGTGAGTGAAGGCATCAGGCTTGACATTTGCCTTGTTAAAAATAGGTAACAAATTAGCACAGATATAAATGTACTTAATATTATTTATTTACAAATAACAAATTCCACTTTACTACACAGCAAAAAGAAGTAAGACTTCCAATGTTTTAAAAGAAAAATTAATTAAAAAAAAAAAGACTGGATCAGTGTCATTCATCAGATCCAGTTAATTTGTCAATAACGGAGCCAATATCCGATCCAAATATTGGATCAGTGCATCCCTACCTCAGGTACATAAACTTAAATTACAGAGAGGATTATAGTCTATTTATTCACTGTAAGTCACCATTTTATTCAACTCTCTGCAAGAAAGAATATGGCTGTATTTCATGAAATAGATATCCATTCTCTTTTCTTTCTCCTCTCCATGCCTAGTTTTTGTTTGCTATGACACACATACTCACCTTAGAGTCTATCACTTCTATTCAGTGGCGAATACGACCTGTGAATCTCGACTCTTCAGCTTAAATGACTCTGGTTCCTGTGAGTCAGGGTTGAATTTCTACACAGCATGCATTTTTGACGTCTGGTGTTGCATGAAGGTCTCAAGGGACGAGCTTTGATTAAAACTGCTGTCTGTATTTTTTTAGCAAAAAGACAACTTGGCAGATGTTCAGAATTTTTGAAGAGGCTTTCTTTTACAGGAATGTGAAAGTTGCTCGTGGGTACGAGCTCCATGAAAAATGATGACAGGCGGAGAAATATGAATTGAGAATGTGTGTCAGCGTATTACTAAATAACACCCATAAATATGACTCTGCATCTTCACTGACTGGCCAGTGATCCATGTAAAAAGTACATTTTTTGTGTTTGTCGACGTCCTTACACCCCCAGAAAAATGCACACACTGTAAAGATTACAGCTCGCGTCCTCGTTTCACAATGCAAACTTGCATGCCAGCTTTTCTGGGAAGTCCAAAGTTTCAGTCGAACACACGTCACAGGCACCTGCGTATCAGAGCAGAAGTATTAGCTCATTGTTTATTGATTGTTTTGATCTCTCTCTCTCTGTATGTCTTGTCCTTGTTTTCAGGTACAAAGAAATAGCAGGAAGTTTGGAGAATGCTGTAAGTGATGGACTAGAGGCAGCACCAGGTAGGAGTTTAGCTCTGTCGTGATCATCAGTGTTTGCTTAATGCTACTTATACTGCACTAACAAGGTATCTTTTCATGCCTAGCTGGCAGTGCGTACCACCTGCAGGTATCTGAGGTGTTGTGGTCCTGCTTACAGAGGTGTTGGTCCGACAAAATCTACCTATCACCCCTCGCACATCGCTTCTGGAAGCTCACTCTTCAGCTTTACGCTCGATACGCAAAGTTTCTTGATGAGGTGAACCAAAGAGAACCTACATAGATTCAGTGATCGTTTAACAGAGCAGCAATTCTAACTATAGTCTTTACAAAGGAAGAGTGATGCGAACATTACCTGCGCTTTGTGTCCTCAAAGGTATTAACAAAGACTTCGACCCCAGAGGTGACCAAAGAGCCAACCAGGCCTCTGCCGAGCTCAGCCTCCTCCACCTCTAGTCGAACATCGCTGGAGGAGGGCGGCAGCGAGAGTGGAAGTCCTGCTTCCCTGTCCACCAAACAGCTGGTTTACATCGCAGCTGACATCCAAAAACTGCAGGACCAGGTGCTCACACAAATTTAATACACGTATTCACTTAAGTATCCCCAATTTAAATGCACGTATTTCATTGTCAACCTTAATCCAATTGTTTTATCTGTGACAAAGTTTTTCTTTTTCAAAACTTGTTCAATAACTCCTCAGATACCAGAGCTGGTAGAGATGGTAAAACAGCGATTAGAAGCCATTGGATTCAAAAACGTACCTCTTGTGGAAGGTGAGCAACTCTTCAAGTGTATATTGCAAGTGATGAAGTTTTTTTACTTCATTTTTAGAGTTTGCTGTGTCTGAAGTTCAAGATTTTATTGGGGAATGAGGAAGATATGTATGACAAAATTTCAAGACAATTATCACTGGTATGATAAATTATTATCATACCAGTGAGACTTTAGCACTTTGGAGGGGCTAGAGTGGGGGGTGGGGGGCAAGAACTGCACTTAATCTGCAGCTTGTTGACGTGTCATTGCATGAGCTGTGTCATTGCAAACCTGCATCTGTTGTTTACTGACATTTAAAGAATTTATAGTTCAATCCCCAACAGCCTTTTGAGAATGACTGTATCTCAGTCTCAGAAAAGAAATTAAGATTGAAAGACTCGTAGATCTTTCAGTTCAGTGGTGTTTTCTTCTATTTCAGATGCTCTGTCCGACTCAAAAGCCTGCCTGTCAAGTAGCATCCCCACTCTGAATAACAAGATGACCCAGCACCTGACTGAACGCAGTTGCCGCTTCCTAAAGAGCGCCTCTGAGGTTCCCCGACTCTACCGCAGGACTAATAAGGTCAGTGAAGCGTAACACATGCAAACGTATGTATTTCCCTCTGAGCTGGAACATCGCTGGTTTGATTAAACCTGGAGGGCTGATGCTCTGTCAGCCGTGTTGTGGCTTATATGTCTCCTCTGATGGAAATGGCACAGTCAAAAGTCAAATTTCACTTTTATAAACTGCATCGGCTGGCTAGACTCTAAGGGTAATCAGATCATGCATGTGAATCAATGAATCACAATGGTATTTGATTTTGGTACCGTCATGCTCCAAATATTTTAATGTAAGGATGGACACATAAAATCAAAGAAAGATGGTTTTGGAGCCTCTGAGAGTTCAAAAATATAAACTCATAGGTACTTTAATTACCTGTCCAGTTGTTTACCATGAACACAGTGCTGATCCTGTTTAAATTTTTACATGTGAATCCTAATTTAGTGTGTTAATAAAACAGCACACTGTTTTTTAGGATGTGCCTGTGCGTGCTTCAGCCTACATGGATAACGCCTTACGCCCGCTGCATCAGCTGCTGACAGACTCGACAGGGCTGGTTACTCCCTCCACAGCACAGGAGTGGCTTCGTGTTGCACTGTGTGAATGCACACAGAGGTAAGCAGACATGCAAAAATGAATAGAGTCAGAAAGCGTCTTAGTTTTGAGGAAATAAAAAAATATAAAGTCTGTGAGTGAGTGTACTTTTTAAAATTTGAAATAGCTTAAAGACTAGTTTTAGTTTTAGTTTTATTTCTAGAAATCTAACCCACAATGTGAGTGTTTACCTTTTACATGTTCCCTCTTTTTTTGTGTTCAGGTACTATGAGACGATCTCTGAGGTGCTCAGTTCGGTGAGAAAGATGGAGGAAAGTCTGAAACGACTGAAGCAAGCCAGAAAAGGTGCAAACGCAACCACAACAGCAGGAGCAAACGGTGGACCCACAGACGACGGCAAGATCAGACTTCAACTGGCACTGGATGTGGAATATCTGGGAGAACAGGTAGGTGGTTGAAGTACAAAAAAATCCCCAAAATTGTCATTAAGCACCATTAAAGGGCAAACATCACCTTGAAATGATTTGATTTTCTTCTGTTTTGTGTCTCAGATCCAGAAGATGGGTCTGAAGCCAGGGGACATCTCCATGTTCTCCACTCTGATGGACCTTGTGAAAGAGGCCCGAGAGCTCGCTGAGCAAAATCAATGAAAAGCTGACACCGCGTTGACGGAGAGGAAGAACATGCTGCACTCATACCTGTATTTCCTAAATACTTGAGAAGTAAAACAAAGGTCTGGCTGGTAACAGGTATGATTTATTGAATGAAGAGGGATGTAGGACAAGAACTGACACTACTGAGATCCTTTTTTTAACCTTTTTCATTAAAAGACAGTTTATTTAATGCCAACATTAGTGCTAAATTGCACAACAAGAACTTGCAAGTCATTGTGCATTAAACGGGATCATTACTCCTGCTGTTGGTACATTAACAAATTTACTTTATAGTACTATGATACTGATTTATTCTAACCAAATGACTGATGTCGGCTGGTTTTATCATAAACTGTTTTACAGAAAAGTTTATCATATTGCTCATATGTTGGGAAACACAAATCAAAGAGAATGTGAATGTCTGCTACCTGGTGAAGGATTTATCTAAAAAGAAGAGTCTTAGTGTAAAAACATTTATCTGAAAGTCTAAAGTTGTTTATTAAAATATCTTTAATGTTATATAATTTGGAATAAAGTGGAGGCTTTGGGTAAAGTGTTGGTTTTGTGTCATTAAAAAAATATCCTCTGCATAGGAATATAACAAAGTAAGTAAAAATGATTAAAGGAAAGAGGCCCCTTTGTTATACAGATATAATTTTTGAGCTTTTAATAACTTTTGCAAACATTTTAAAGTGAGGTTATTCATATGCAGGAATTTTGAGCTATTTGTATAATATTTATTCTTTTTTTAGATGTACATTTTGTGTGCATCATCATGTTATGAATTGTTAGGTTGAAAAAAAAAAGATTACTAGGGTTAATAGGATCAATAAATTAAGGCTTCATAAGTATCAGAGGTAACATCCTTATCATTGCTTGTTTTGCACAACAGTGTTCACCTCAAAATGCTTAAAAACTTGACTAGAAGCATTATGCATTGTGGCACAAAGTACCGAAACAGTTTTCACTGTACATTTCATCACTGATCTACATCAGTCACGTTTGCCCGACATCAACTTTTCACCCAAAACAAAAACACAGGATCCTGAACATTGTGTTTATTCCAAAGTCAATATTACACATGATGGCACTCAAGATGAAGAAGTAGAAAAAACACAAACACGTCTAAAATTTAAGTTCATCTTTAATTAAAAAAAAATCCTTAAAAAACTGATTTGACTCTTTTTGCCTAGAGGAAAACACCACCAGTGCCATCACATTATTCTCATTGGCTATGAGAATCTATCTTTTTCTGAGTTAGTTCACATATGAATTCTTTTTCTCATGTATATTCTCATATAAGTAAAATTCTTCCAACAAATAAAATTTAATTTTACACCAATGCTTCTGACCAAATTTAAAACCAGAAATCACAAATCTCACCTACAGATTGTTACTTCTTTTTCTGTTTATCTTACAGCATTGCTCTTTCCACCCACTTGCACTGACAGTATGATGTATTGTGCGCATTTGTGATTGTCTGTTTGAGGTCATGAGATTTAATCACTTGAAAACTAGAACTTCCCAGATCTTTATTAGTATATAATAACTGTATACTGACTGCTATAAATTATTATTTTTGATTCTTTTTAGGCAATGAGCATACAGATTTAGACATTAAATTTTAATTTCTATACCATCAGGAGGAAATGAGGCTAAATCTTTCACCTGTAGGTTAACCATGAACCACCATGAACTGAAACCCTGACTTAGAAAAACAGACATTTGAACTTTATATGGATACAAATGTTTTATTCCAGCAATCACAAATCATAACAAAACAAAAATAAACTCTTAGTTACAATATACAGTACATCCTATTAGTCATTCATCATAGAGAATTATGGTTACTGTACCTACTCTACAGAAAAATACTGTACAGAACTCTGCTATAATAAATTTTACAGATGAAAAAAGCAAATTAGCATTTGAACAGGCACAGTTTAAAGTAACAGATTTACATAAATACTGAAACAGGGAACCACGGTGACTATTAAACTGTAAAGAGAGGTCAAAGACAACTACAGGACTGTTAAATACTGAGATCTTTTATGAGCAGGGGTGACTAATTTATTGAGTATATGATCTAAATGAAACTGAATGTTTTTATCATCAGAGGTTTCTGATGGTTTGAACTCTAGAGGGTAGGGTTTGTGATCTTGCCCAACATGAGGATAGCGTCAGAGTCTCCCTCTATGACGGAAAAGAAGAACGGCCGGTTGATGGACAGTTTTAGAGGGACTCCTTCTGCCGGGATCATGTCCTGAGGTTCAGCGTCATCCTCTGTCATCTCAAACGTCACTTTGTTGACCACCTGAAAGGAGAAAGGAAGATCTTTGATTGATGTGCGTCAACACAGTGATTTTCTCGTTAGAATATGAGCAGATGAGCACCCACTTTGTCTATGGTGAAGGGTTTGGTGTCGCTGAGTTGGCTGAACTCCGCCTGGGATCCCAGAAGTTTGGCCTCCACTTCTGGGTCCACATTGAGCAGAAGCTCATGCATGTTGGTTACAGAGGACATGGAGAACTTCGGGAGTGTGAGCTCCAGAAGGCTGAGAGGATGGACAGAAGGGTGAGAAACATACTTAGCCTTATTAATATACTTGAGAATTTGAACAATAGATAGTAATTCGCTAAATTAACACACAGATGACCATTTAAAGCATTTACAGCTCCTGCATATCAGTATTCATCCTCTCAGTGATTTTCACATGCTCTACCTTTGCAAACAATTGTAAGTCAAAAGACTTTTCGACCTGCAGATGGCAAGAGTAAAGGATAAAACCACAAATCTGTTGTTTTGAAGATGATCCACTTCACCTCAGAGCAACAGCGAAGGTATTTTAACTTTAACTTAGGAACAAATATCCTGTATCCACTCAAGTAATTACTTATTAATTGTCATTTACATTAACAAAGGCCTAAAATTTAAGGTATTCAACACAAAAACTTATATTAGAACCCAGTTAAATACTATCAGGAGCAGAAAACGTGACAGCTAAACATCAGGTCATGGTACAGATTGCGAATTCCTACTTGAAAAGGATTTGCACCACACAGCTATAAATAAAATAAAGATCATGTAGAATCATAGTTCATTAATTCTTAGTATTTAGGACTTTAGATAATACAATACCCACCCTTCTTGGAGGTTCTGATACCAGCCAGAAATGTCATCACTGCGCAGCTTTGACTCTATATCATGCAGCTTGGTGCCTTCATGAGGCAGGACAAGCATCATGTAAGACCGCTTGCTCAAAGACAGCTTCACAACCGTGCAACGGCGAACCTACAGACATGAAAAAAAGAAACATTTTACAAATGAGTTCATTGAATAAACTCAGGGTCTGCAAACTCTCCTGAGAGTTTTAGAGTTCAAGATCCTGAACAAAGATTTACCTTATCATTCAGGTAGTGGTAATGACCTGTGTGGGTCATCAGTGGAGCCATCACCGTGGTTGTGTCATCCACGTAAAACTCCTGCATGGAGGTCGTCTCTGGTTGGAAAGCTGTCCTCCAGTTGCCTAGACAGACCCAACAAAAGTTCCACAGTCAGGTCTACCAATGTTTCACTTCGGTATTACACAATGGGTCAACTGACAAAGTCATGTAGACACAATACAATGAAGAACGATGTGTAACCCTGTATCTTTCTGTGTTCCTCTAGAGTTAATGAAGCAATCTGTAAAGTGTTATTGATTCAAAATGAAATCGAATCAACTCAGCAGAGGTCTAAACAAAAGAAGAGGACAACACTGACCTTGGAAGTTCAGGGAGGTAAGAAACAGGAGGTCGCTGCTGGCGTTCACGTCTCCAAAAATGCCCTTCACCTTCCCGTCCGATGTCTTCTCCACAAAGGTGTTCACTACCTGCTCCGCCTCTTGTGGATTGGAGAAGTCAACGCTGCGGATGAACGACGTATCAGAGAAGTCCTGTGTGCCCTGAATAAAGTCCTCGGAAAGTTGAGCTCCTTGGCGAGAGAAGGCCCAGACCTGGGTTGTGATTTCATCTTTGGGCCCGTCATCCACCAGAGAGTTGATGCTCTGAAGGGTCTTGAGAACTTTGTGTCCATCCACTAAGGAGACGCAGTCCTCTGGGTCGGTACCACTGCTCAGACCCAGTAAAAGCTGGAAGGAGAGGATTAGGAAACATTTATGTTATAAACTGAACCAACAGGACTCGATGTAGAGTGTAGAGTTGTTTATCTGAACAGCACAAATAAAAGTAGGTTGTTATGTCTGTTTCTGCCAATATTTGTACACCAGCCAATAATTTCCTGAGGAATTAAGTGAATGTGTCGTCTTTTCTTGCTGCTAAAAATGGTAGATAAAACAAATTCATCTCATGCAAAGACCTGGTATGAGCTCGCTGTCCTCTTGGATGCTGCCAGGTAGAAGGTGACGAGGGATCCGTAGGTGTTGATAGGAGAGAGTAGGGTGTTGCTGCTTTTCTGTTTGCTGCTGAGAGCCTGGTAAAACCTCAGACCCGCAGTGTTCAACAGCTGTGCTAGAACCATGGTCCTCACTGTGATATTCTGCCTCTGCGTATCCACCTTAGACAGATCCCTGCTGTCTGGTGTCAGGACTTCAATATCGAGGGGGGCCACTGGAAGTGTCCTAAGAGGCTTGGACGTCTGGGTATGCAGGGTCTCACAACTGACATTCTCGGCGGCAAAGAGAGTAAAGGGGTGGATGTAGACGCGGTTCGCTTGGCTTGCTGAGATGTAGCAGCCGAGTAGGAGGGCAAGAAACGATGGTCGCAGAATCTTCATTTTTACCTTTCGTTTGTTGATTCTTTCTGTGGAAGGAGGCAGATATTCTTAATTTCAGATGATTACAGAGAGAAGTGCCAGAGTTTTCATGAGCACTGAGTATTGGTGTCAGAAATCTGGCTGGATCTGGTTTTCTGACTCTGACAGGATTGGCTGGCAGGAACATTGGTGTGTCAGTGATGGATTGATTGTTCTTTGTGTCTCTTCTCTCTTTCTCGTCAGTGAATAAGACCAGGCCTTACCCTTTGCTAGAGAGGTCGCATAGATAATGAAGACACATTGACTGCGTATGTCTGTGTTCGTGCAAGTCTGCGTATGTTCACCATCTGAAAACAAAATGGTGTTGCACTCAGGTTTTGTTTGTTTGGACCGGGCTTAAGGAGCAGTCAGACTTGGGATGCACATTCAGCGTGCTTTGGTCTCCATCATACTGGAACTTACTCACCCCTAAAACTTGAGATAAATTTGGCATTTTTAAATCAAAATCTTGAATTTATATTTAATAAAAACTTAGATGTAGATAAGCATGTATTCTAAAAGAATCATTTTACTCAAGTTTGTTGATATATGTAACTATTTCTCAGATGGCTCTTGCATCTTTTTGCTGGGGCTGCCAAGTATCATAGGATAAAGGTTGTTTATTATTGTTTACACCAAGCAATTCTCCCCACATTCAACTTTTTCATCTTAATTTATCATGACTGTAAAGCTCTTATGCAAAAGTAGGACTTTATCCTCTGAGATGAGCATGCAGAAATGTGGACTGATGGACTCTTGGAGGCGTCTAGCAAACATTAGAGTTTCCTCTGATTGGACATGTACCAGAGGACATGGCCTTGGTCCTATATCAACAAAACCAGTGCACTCAAATGTTCTTAGACGCCATCACCCCACCTTTGTACCCGATGACTCAATGGCAGTGATTTAAAACATCAGTAACTGATGATTACTTATGTTTCTGTTAAATGTCAGAATTTTCAATGTGATCTGGTTGAAAAAATTATTTGTACTGTTAGATTTTAATTTTCCAGATATTTGTAATTTTAATACTTAAGAGGAAAATAAATGTCTGAGAAGTTCAATTTTGACAGAGGTGCTGTCCTAAGCATCGGTCGTAGACATTAAAAGTCTGATCTGATGGTTTTGAAGGGTGTAATGGATTAGTCCCACTATTATCACTGAAATATTTCCTGTATTTCTGCTAGGTTTGCATATTCTTCATTAAAAGTCAATTATTGAGTTAGAGCCAAAGCTTTTCTCTTACCGTTTGTTGTTGCTGCTGCTGCTGCTGCTGAATAAGATCCTGAATGAGGTCTCCTCTGCTCCCTGAATTTAAACCAGCTGGCTGGCCAGCCGTGCTCCCACTCTGGTTACTGATTAACCAAAGCAGCATTGAGTTAGGGGCTCTGCTGCCGTGACTCACAGCCCGCTTTGTGCGGACGTGCTTCTGCTGGAGATAAATAGGTCTGACACAGAAAGGGAAGAGACCACCCAATGTCCCCTCTACTTGTTGACTTTTGGAGTGATGATGCAAACATATCCTGGAGGGGGTAAAAGAAGCGTTCATTGCACAAAGGAGGAATGGGAAGCACAGGGACAGCGAGGCTTGTTTGTATTTGAGGGTGACTCAGTGATATGTCATCACATTGTGGAGTTGATTATTTGTGGAGTGGGAAGAGTGCCCTTGTTTGTTGTTTACAGAAGCTTGGCTTCTGGATTCTGTTAAAAACGTTTTCTCTTAATTGCTCTTTGATTCATATGTTTGTATTGATGAAACCACAGAAAGAAAAGCAATCTAATGCCAGTTTTGTAATAAATAATGCAGGACAAGTTCTCCAACTATGCTTTAAGTATTAATACTATAAATAGTATGAAAGCTGTGTGGAAACTTATGTTGTATGATTATATGTATACAGACCATATGCCCTACATACAGCTGAAAATGTGCTCTGTGAACTGGTTTTGGAAATATTTTAACTAAAAGGAAAGGACTGAAAAGTGAAACCTGTGGTGCTCCTGTTTAAACTCTCCACGGACAAGATGATTTGTCCAAATAGATGTTCCTGAATTTATGGTCTCTTCATTTTTTCAAACAAATTTCTCTCTAGTTTTACCTTCTGTTAGAGCTATCAAAAAAACCCACCATTGACAAATACTAATTAAAGCAGGAAGTAACATGCTTGTTGTCTGTAGATTTGTTGTTTCTTTTCTTGTTATTTGCTTTTTTAGCTGTCCTCAGTTACCTTTTCAATGTCTTAGCCAAAGGTGTCTTACCTACATTTGAGGAGTAATAAAACGAGAAAACATTCAGATAAATCATTGCAACACTTCTAACAATTTTACTGAATGTCATTGTATTGTATAAACCTATTCTGCCGTCCTTCCCTTCATCCTTGTATTGTTAAAATAAGTGACAATGTGACCCTGGAAAAGAGCAAACTTGTATCAGATGTTCAAACATGTTTATTGAGCTGTGTGGTTTGACTCAAAAGCAATATCCCTGAACATTATGAGGAAAATCTATCACACACCTGATTCAACAGGGCAGAGTATACAGGACTTTCTCACCAGACAAGGAAACATCATGCTATGGTTAGTGCTTTTATAGCCCTATTGTTTTATCTTTTAAAGTTATAATAGGTCATGGGAAGTTAAGGTCATGGCTGCAGTGGAGAAATTAAAGTAACTGTATGTGATTAAGCACCAATCTTAAACTCATGCTGTCAATAGGAAACTACCTTTAGAGGCCACATGGCTGAGGAGGAACTTATTTATTAGTGAATTAAAGATAACATTGTTTAAAAGACATAAAAAGTTAAGTTTAATTATAAAAAATAGTAATGAATCAGGAATAACTCGTAACTTATGACACACTATAACCATATCCTTTAAACATTAAGCTCTGTTCATACTAATATCAATGTTATCCATCAATAATGTTTGACTACTGTAGGGCAGCTAGCAGCATATTTAAAGACAAAGTTACAGATCTTATGATATGATGAGAAAAAGAGCAGGCAGCTGTGAACTTTTCCCAAAATCCTGCAGATACAGATATACTCGGAAATCTCAAAATTTTGTTTATACATATCACAGTAACCCTTTCTTTTACTGTACACTTATTATCAGGTAATTAACAGGTAATTACCTATTAACAACATGAAATCATCTGTAATTACATGATAACTACTCAGTCAATACTGTCTAGTTTTTCTTTTTTTCTTTTTTCTGTGAAGCTCCATTTTCAAAAGCTATTCGGGGTTCTTATTTTCTATAATTGACACTTGATACAGCCAATGGGCGTGCGAAGATTGCGTAGCGATACGCTGTTTGAGCCGAGCACTATCACAGCGACTCACCTGCCGAATGCGTACAATGCTACTGCGCAAGTGGTGGTTCCAGGAAGCGGAGAAAATCCTGGAAATACCAGAGCTATTCGGCTTCAAATTTGTATGATGATGGAAGGTTACCTACCTGGTAGCTAGACAGTATTGACTTAGTAGTTATCATGTAATTACCAGATAATCACCTGGTAATAAGTGTACCGTAAAAGAAAGTGTTACCCATAGCACTTATGAATGTAAAACTAATATGACAATCTACCATTAATATTACAAACTACAAAATCAGTTTAAGCCCTAAACTAGTCCTACATGTTAAGACAGTACTTTGAGCAAAATGCTAACATGTGTTTGCTAACATGTGTATGCTAACAAAGATTAGGTGCAAATAAATCGTTTTTAAGCAAAGATTTGAGTCCATCGTAACCGCTATGTACCAAATGATAAGGACCTTTAGGGCAATGAACCATTTTGTGATCATGTTAGGCCTAGTTGTGGTTGAAGTTGTCGTTTTTTCGTATTTATTCAAATATGACAATCTTAAATGTTAGCTCTTGAAACTAGCTTCTGGGAAGGATGGGTTGGGTAGATAAACTTTGTTAGCATTACTTTAGCATATTCCTTTTTTATTAGCTGCACATTTGCAAATTCCCAAACCCCTCCCATGAAATTTTACTGTGTTACTAAAACAAATATGTTAAAACACATCCTGGAGTTAGAGGTGAACAATCTTTGAGTTCTGTTTATGATGGTTAACCAACTGTGTGATTCTCACGAAAATTGCAGGGAGTGATCGGTCACTGTCGCTGTTTGTGGACTCAGAGACTTTGTAGGTGTTACAGCAGGCTTTATAAGCTGCAATGTTCAGTAACTGAAGCAGATTTAGAGGTAGACAGAAACTATGTGGACTCTCTGGGTTCTTTGTGGTGTGGTCATCTCGTGCACAGTGCAAGGTTAGTCCTCTTTTTTATTATTGATATGTTCCTCTTTGATTTTTTAAAACACAAATTAGACTTTGTATTTGCAAGTTGGCAACATTTGACTGAGTGAAGATTTCCTCCTATTTCTTTTTTAAAGTATCAAAGAAGATTTTTTTTGTCATTGTAACTAAAAGTCTTATCAGTCTTTTCGTGGTTTAATTTGCTCTCATTTTGTTTTGTTTGTCTACTTTTCTCATCCCATGTCAGGTGAAGTTCGCCTCCAAAAAAATGAGAAAAGATATTTGACAACTTACCCAGGTACAAAAACTACCACAAAACACAAGGAATATTGACGTTAAGGCTCCTTTTTGAAAATTAAAGACGGTTACCAAACAGACCAAAATCAAGACCAATCATGTTTTCCCTCTCATGACACAGTGTGAACAGCATTTGTAAATCTCCTATGTCTCTCAGCTCAGCTCTCATGTCGCTACAACTGTGGCCGGCACCTGGGAAGCTGCTCCTGCTCCAGCTCTTGTCAATACTACGGCAACTGTTGCTATGACTATGACTGTAAGTGGCAAGTCTAACAAATCAGCAACATTACAGGTTCAGTATCTTGCGCTGCAGGAATCAGTCTCAAATACCTCAGTTCATTAGTGGTGAGGAATCTTCTTCAATGTGAACACCTAAAGTGAGACTATTTCAATCTTAAATGACAAATGATGAGTTGAAAGTTGGCTACCATAAGATAGTTAACATTTCTAACGTCCCACTACTTTTTAGCAAACATGACTGATTTTGGTGTTACAACAGTCAGGGAAAAGTGGATTTCTGTTTGCTAAAAGTTTTTCTGGCTAGTTAACAGTTTGTCCTTGCATCTACTTTTAGCAAAGTGAATAAATAATTCTACTATTTGCTAGTGAGCAAGGTAATGCAGAGGAATATTGAAATATCATGTCAATGTAAAGAAATAGCATTCTTCTCCCTATACAGGCTATGATTTAACATAGAAATGGCTGCAACAAAATGGTGACACTTTATAACCACATGGCAATCAGTCATAGTTGGGTATTTTCTCATGAACTAGTGTTTGAGTATGTGTGTTTTACAAAAATAACAAGAATTTAAGATTTTTCACAACCCCTCTCTGTTTTGCAGCTTACTGCCAGTACACTACTACACCACCTGAACCAGAAACCACAGGTGTGAAGGCCTCTTATTACCCTTTATAAAAATAATACATCAAAAAAATTGTATTGAAAATCAATACTGAATGTCTTTTTATGTCATTTCAATTTTAATTATGATTTTTTGTGTCTCTCAGCTCAGCCCTCATGTCGTTACAATTGTGGCTACAACATGGGGAGCTGTTCCTGCTCCAGCTCCTGTGAATGGAGTGGAAACTGTTGTCATGATTACTACTGCAAGTATCCTGCAGCATAACTTTTGCAAACATTCATTACAGTTTCAGGCTAAATACAAATCTTTGTTTTTAGTCACTTAATTATTTTTCATGGACTAGATGGCAAAAAGTCATGATTGGACAACATTATTTTATTAACTTTTGCAAAGCATGCATATTTTACAGAACTATGATAGTTATAGTAATAATTTTATGTCTCTTACAACCTATCTTTGCCTTGCAGCTTACTGCCAGTACACTCCTACACCACCTGCACCAGAAACCACAGGTGTGAAGGCCTCTTAATACCCTTCATAAAAATACTACACAAAAAAAAATAGTATTGAAAATCAATCCTGATTGTCTTTTTATGTCATTTCAATTATTATTATGATTTTTTTGTGTCTCTTAGCTCAGCCCTCATGTCGTCACAATTGTGGCTACAACATGGGGAGCTGTTCCTGCTCCAGCTCCTGTGAATGGAGTGGAAACTGTTGTCATGATTACTACTGCAAGTATCCTGCAGCAAAAGCTTTGCAAACATTCATTACAGTTTCAGGCTAAATCCAAACCTTTGTTTTTAATCACTTATTCCATGTTCTTGGACTTAATGTCAATGAGGCATCGGTGGATATTTTCTCAAGTACTAGTGTTTGAGCATGTGTGTTTAACACAATTACACAAATAAAAAGAATTTGTCTATAACAACCTATCTTTGTCATGCAGATCACTGCCCGTACTATACTACACCATCTGGTGACATACCAACCACATGTAAGAATCTCAACAGCCTACATGAGGATAAAACATCAAAATTTTATTATTATCGAAAAGAATACTGAATGTCTTTTTATGTCATTTCAATTTTAATTATGATTTTTTGTGTCTCTCAGCTCAGCCCTCATGTCGTTACAATTGTGGCTACAACATGGGGAGCTGTTCCTGCTCCAGCTCCTGTGAATGGAGTGGAAACTGTTGTCATGATTACTACTGCAAGTATCCTGCAGCAAAACCTTTGCAAACATTCTTTACAGTTTCAGGCTGAATACAAACCTTTGTTTTTAGTCACTTTATTAGTTTTCATGGACTAGATGGCAATAAGGCATGGTTGGACAACATTATTTTATTAACTTTTGCAAAGCATGCATATTTTACAGAACTATGATAGTTATAGTAATAATTCAATGTCTCTTACAACCTATCTTTGCCATGCAGCTTACTGCCAGTACACTCCTACACCACCTGCACCAGAAACCACAGGTGTGAAGGCCTCTTAATACCCTTCATAAAAATAATACATCCAAAAATAGTATTGAAAATCAATACTGTATGTCTTTTTATGTAATTTCAATTATTATTATGATTTTTTTTGTGTCTCTCAGCTCAGCCCTCATGTCGTTACAATTGTGGCTACAACATGGGGAGCTGTTCCTGCTCCAGCTCCTGTGAATGGAGGGGAAACTGTTGTCATGATTACTACTGCAAGTATCCTGCAGCATAACTTTTGCAAACATTCATTACAGTTTCAGGCTAAATACACACCTTGATTTTTAGCCACTTATTTTTTTTTCTTGGACTAGATGTCAATAAGGCATGGTTGGACAACATTATTCTAATAACTGTTGCAATGCATGCGTATTTTACAGAATTGTAATAGTTATGGTAGTAATTTAATGTCTCTTACAACCTATCTTTGCCTTGCAGCTTACTGCCAGTACACTTCTGCACCACCTGCACCAGAAACCACAGGTGTGACAGCCTCTTAATACCCTTCATAAAAATAATACATCAAAAAATAAGTATTGAAGATCAATACTGAATGTCTTTTTGTCTTATTTCAATTATTATTATGATTTTTTTGTGTCTCTCAGCTCAGCCCTCATGCCGTCATTATTGTGGCAGCCACATGGGGAGTTGTTCCTGCTCCAGCTCCTGTAGATGGAATGGAAACTGTTGTCATGATTACTACTGCAAGTATCCTGCAGCATAACCTTTGCAAACCTTGATCACAGTTTCAGGCTAAATACAAACCTTTGTTTTTAGTCACTTATTCCTTGTTCTTGGACTTAATGTCAATAAGGCACGGTTGGATAACATTGTTTTGTTAACTGTTGCAAAGCATGCAAATTTTCAGAATTATGAAAGTTAAATTAAGAATTTAATTTCTATAACAACTATCTTTGCCCTGCAGCTTACTGCCAGTACAATACTGAATCACCAACCAGAGAACCCACCACAGGTTTGAGAACATCACGAACAACCTATACAAGCTTAATCATTATATTATTATTCTGCTAAAAGAAGAGATTATTGAAATGTCTGTTTACCCTTGTAAACTTGTCTACCTTTCAGTTAATCCCTGTGGAGGCTCTCTGTCCAGCTCTGGCACCTTCCAGAGCCCCAATCATCCAAACCACTACCATGACAACGCCGACTGTGTCTGGTATCTCAGTGCTGCGAACAACCACAGAGTCTTCCTGTCTTTCACATACATGCAGTGAGTAAAGAATACACAGCTTTTTGGAAATCATTAGTACAGTAGTTCATTTTTGTTGACGAGAGAAGTCACTAATTTATGTCTTTTATCTTTTCTTACAGGCTGGAGAACTGCTGCTCCTGTGACTACATTTCAGTCTACGATGGGTCGTATGTTGGCTCAAGACTTTTGGGGAAAATGTGCAACGACAGTCAGAATACTTTCGTCTCCTCCTCTCGATACATGACAGTGCACTTCAAGACTGATAGTTCTGTGGTTGGCCGAGGGTTCAGCGCTGATTTCTCAAGCACTCTATCACCAAGCTCAGGTACCTGCATACTAGAAACCGCAATTACAGAAATCTGGGGCTTTGCCTCCTTGATTTTTGACCACCACAAAACAATTACTCCTCAATGACAGATCATTATTCAATCAGCTAGAGAGTGAGCAACTGTCACTACCCTGACCCTCCTCCTTTGTTAGATGGTCAATCAAAGAAGCCAAATCAAGGCTCAGCAGAGCTTTGTGGTAAATACAAATTCCAAATTTTGATATGCTCAGAATGACAGCATTTGGTAAATTTTGTTTATTCAAATCTTACCAACTCAATTTGGCAAAGCTAAAATTTTTAACATTTTCCCTATTGCCAGAAAAGTTACAGATTTTAAATCAATAATGGCAAAAAATATGTAATAATTGTTACCCAACTACCAGAGAAGCATGACAAGCATTTCCTCAAAAATGACCCCTCTCTCCTCAAAGTGACTCAAACAGATGAAATTTATTCTGTCAGGTCAAGTGATCTGCTCCTCAAACATGACCATCGTGATCCAGCATTCTTACCTGAGCTCTCTTGGCCACGATGGTAACAATCTGTACCTGAACGACCCCACCTGCAGACCCCAACTCACCAGATATCAGGTGATCTTCAGCTACTCCATTGATAGTTGTGGCAACGTCCGGAAGGTAAGAATTTTTCTTCCATCTGAACAATTCACCCCCTTGGTTTTAATGAAACCCTCAGTGTGATCATGTTTACTTCAACAGCTTGAGAATGGCAGAGCTGTGTACACCAACCTCATCCAGTCCTACAACACCACTACTGGAGAGATAACACGTCAGTCTCACTTTAAGCTGAAGGTGGAATGCCGAATGGAGCAGGATTCAGTATCTGAAATAATGTACCTCGCTCATAGTGATAACAGCAGCATGACAGGAAAAGGCAGATTTAACACCAGCATGGACTTCTACACATCCAGCAACTTCTACTATAAGGTATGATCACAAAATAAGAGCATTTCAACTGTTTGATACACTGCTGACTGTTTCCTTTCATCTTCTCAGGTGACTCAAGTGCCGTACAAGGTGACTCTTAACCAGAACTTGTATGTCCAAGTGGATCTGCAGAGTCAACGGCATAACATGGTTCTCTTCCTTGACACCTGTGTGACCTCACCATCACCACATGACTTCCAGACCAGAGCTTACTACCTGGTCCGAAACGGGTGAGACGAGAGCACATCTTGCTTCCTGCTACTCCTTAAATTTCAACTCAAAAATACTCTGAATTTACAGCTATTTTTTTTATTTACAATTTACTTTTATTTTATTTAACTTTTTACATTTTCTTTAATATCCATTTGTTTTTCTTTTTACTCAACTTTATTTATTAATATTTTTCGTGTAGAACATATTGATAAACAATGAAGGTCATGACATAAACCCCCCTCCCCACACCAACCCTCACCCTTAGGAGGCAAATGAGAAGGTAAACAACAAAGGCTATATAAGAGTACAGTTCGACAATATGTATAAATCTATACAGTAATTAAAGAAGTGAGTCTATAATTAAGAGCCAGAAAATTAGGTTAACTAATAAAGGAGAACTATAAATAATGAATAATAATATAATAATAAACTGATGCAAAACACAATTTACTTTTATTCTGTAGGCACAAATTTCACACAGTCCTAAATTGTTGTTTTTGGAGTTTCACCATTTTCTTGTGTATTGATGGTTTCCTTAACGTAACACAAAATGATCCAGTAAAATCTAAGTAAGATAAATCTATACGTCTTAGTATATTTTTCCTTTTTTCATTGTACTCACTCAAGGACCCCACGTCTTTATCTCAAAATCCTTTGTCAATTAGACTCCATCCCAGTTTAAATGAGGTTAACTAAAGTAACTACAACAGTTAACATTAACCACACATTGATGAATTAAACACAACTGTTGATTTTGATTCATTGTCTGATAGCAGTTTTTTATGTTCAATGCTTTTTACATCCTGTGGATGCTGATTTTATCCATCAAGGTGGACTTTTAAATTCTAATAATCTTTTCCATGATGATATTTGTACATGAACTCAAATAAGAGGATTCAATAACTAATCCTACGACTGCAAATATTACAAATATCAAAATCCTTGGTTAATATAGGATTCTGTTTTTCTGTTTTCCTTATAAATGCAAATTGGTTTTCAGTAACAGTAAGTCTCTTTCTCCATTAGATGCCCTGTGGACAATACCTACAGCGTCTACACCTCTGGCTCTTATAAATACGCCCGGTTCACCTTCAAGGCCTTCCAGTTCTTGCGAGCCTCAGAGTCAGTGTACATCCAGTGCAAGGTCCGAGTATGTGAAGCTTACAACAATTCCCGCTGTCGCCCCACTGGCTGCCACAGACGTATAGCCAGAGACTTAAGGTCAAAGCATAACAGCCAAACCCTGGTCCTGGGTCCCATCCAGCTCAAAGGTCTGTGGCTATTTTACCTGTTTCTCAAAACAATTGTGGTTAAAATTCAGGACATGTGTAAGGTTTGTCTGTGTGATCTTAGCATCTCAAGAAAAGACTAAAATCTTTGTTTGTCTTTGCCAGAGTCTGATGAAGGGGAGAGTGAGACCCAGAAGCAGGACAAGGCTTAAATTCAAACTGCGATGAGCAGCTTCAATTTTTTCAAGGAATCATTTTAACTCTTCTTTCCATCCCTACTCTAAATCATACCTATCCTTTACTTTCTCTGTGTACTATCATCTGATTAAAAGCATCACTAAAAGGCATTTGGTGTTTCTGGAAATAGTTTGATCATGTTCACATCAAATTTAATATGTAATGAAAATAAGATCCATGTTAATGATCTGTTCCTGAACACAAAGAAGACTAAGATTAGGAAAACAAGAGACAAATCACAGCTCAGTTAGAAAACACTTTACTTATAAATTAGTTTGATTAAACTGTGTCACAATAAAATGATTTGCCATCCCAGAGGGAGAGAGTAATCGCCGACAGGCTTCGACATTCACCATTACCTATGAGCCTACAACACACTGAGACAACATAAGGCAGTCATTACTGGATGCCCTTATTACTGGTAAGCATGGTGACAAAGAGGTGGTCCTAACAGTAACTATTTTCTCCACGCATGTTGCTACGCAACAGACAACAGTATCCAATACAAAGAACAATCTTACTAGAGAGGCAGTCTTACTGCAACATATTTAGCTTTTTTGACACTGAACATCTATCCAACCACTCAGAATACAATACTCAGTAATAAATATTCAGAAAGAGATCCAATTGGAGAACCTCAGTGAGTGTTACCACAAAGGCTTCAACAGGGCATCCCTGGTGCTACAACACAATTCTGAAAAAGTGTTCACAGTAGACACAAGACTTTGTGATTCTGTCCTAAACATGGAGATACTTGATATCAAAGTGACTTCTTACAATATCAAAAGGTCCGAGTGTGAAATGATGGAACTAAATGGAACTTTTTTTTTTTTTTTAAACAAAACTAGTGAAAGTGATGAAGAAGGGCACTGTGTGGAGGGATTTCAAAAACACAACTTTTACAAAATCTAGTTCTACGACTTGATTGGCTGACCAAGAACAAACTCACTGATACAACGTTTGTCCAGCTTTTCACTGTAGATGCCTTCCTTTTAGTTTTGATCCCAAAGATTCTTAGCAGCATTCATGAAACAGAGTTTTGGCAAATCATGGCTACCATAGAAAACTACAACGGCCACACTTTTTGTCAAAGGCTCTGGGCCTATCTGTTACAGCAAAAAGAGGAAATCTGTGATAATGTCTATGAAACTTCAAAATAACAGTCCTCTCTGTCTCGGCCACACAAGAAAAGTGACCACGTCAGGCACTGCAAAGAAAGAGTAGTAATGCACCAACCACTCCAGTAATTTCAACAAGGCTAAAGTAAGATCACTCTAGGTCAACAGGTCAACTCCTGTGTCATAATCATCAGAGCAATCTCTGGATATTACTTCAGGAGGGTTGAGAACTTATTTGGCTGGCTCCTGTGGTGAATAAAGTTATTTCTTGTTTGTTCAGCATTTTCTAAAAAGACAAGCCCCTAAAAATGGGAGCCCATTGGCCATTTGAGCAACCCCACAGCTGAACAGTGACTGTATGTCTTTCAGCAACCACTGATTAATATGTATTCATGTATTTATAAGAGATTCAGAGTAACATTTCTCAATTCTGATTAAAGACCCCCCCCCCCCCCACCCCGGAAAATAAATAAATAAAATAACATTAAAAATAGGAATGTTGTGCGTTTTTCCCACCCACTAATTCATTTATCTGGCTATATTATGTCTGAATAATGAACCTCCCTCCACCACGACCAAAAATAAATCCCCAACCTCTTTTAAAACACTGATCACCCCTTTATAATACACTTGAAAGGGCACCATAAAAAAAGACACCATCTGAATGTTTGTTTCCTGTAAGAGTACAACTGTCGAAGGCTAGGCTACATCAAGGCCAAGTATAAGACCAATAAATTAAAGTACTATGAAATTAATAAAACAAGCTGTCCATGAAAAGTTCTTACAGAAATTCCCTCAGTCATCCTTCACTTGTGCTGTCCGCGGGCAAAGTGGCAGGCAAAGTCATACTTGCTCTTGCACTTGTGGCCACAGATGTTGCACTGGAATGGATTCTCATAGCCATGGCAGCCCATGTGGATGGTGTAAAGGATGTTGTCAGGGAAGTAGATGTCACAGTGCTGGCAGTGATGCAGCATATGAGGGTCCTGAAGTGGGGCGGACAGACCCGGGGCGGGTGTACTAGGTTGACTGTTGGAGATGCTCGGGGTACTGGTGCGCCCACTGTGCTCACTGCAGGGTCCTTCTCCTGGGCTGCAGTTGCTGTGGGGAGGAGCACGGGGCTCTGCGGTGATTGGGGAAGATGAGGAGGTGTGGGCCATGCTGGCTGTGACAGCAACAGGAGCTGTGGCAGGATGGGGCTGCTGGATGAGGAAGGGCTTCTCATCCACAATAGATTCTGCTCCTGGAGACATAGGGGGTTGAGCCTGGGCCTGAGACTCAGATGGGAGGCTGGCCAACTGGCCTGCCAGCGTGGACAGCTGGTTCAGGGGGTTATCCATTGCCATGTCATGATGATGATGGTTTTGATTTGTTGAGTGTCCATCATCAACAGCTCGACTCTGATTATCATATGTATCCTGACGCAAATGTGGCAGCTCATGGGAGAAGTCATTCATATTGTCTGCCTTGTGCACCACCATAGAAGGAGGGCTGAAGTTGATGAGCAGTCGGCGTCCATAGCCCAGAGAGCTGGCCTTCTTCTGTAAAACACTAAGCATTTTCTTGTGGGAGAGAGAACGAGCACCTTTCATTGGGAGGAGTTTGTGGCGTCGCCGGCGATGATGTGACAGGTTGCTACGATCACTGCAGCGGAAGGAGCACAGCTCACACTTGTATGGCTTCTCGCCTGTGTGGGATCTCATGTGGGCTTCTAGGTGGCGCTCATAGGCTGATGCAAATGGGCAGAGGTGGCAGCGGTGCGGTTTCTCTCCTGTTCAAATGAGAAAAAAAAGGTTCACTGACAAAACCCTGTGAATTTGATATTTTCCTTTGGAATTAGTCTCGATTACTGACCTGTGTGAATCCGGATATGCTCAATGAGCCTCGCTGTGCCTCTGGTGGCATAGTTGCAGTAGCGGCACTTGAGCTTGCCATCGTAGGTCCTCTCAAAACCATCCACCAGGATCCCTGTGCTGTCCTCCAGTGACATGTCCACTGAGGGATGATCCAGTCCATTCTGACTACAGTCTGAAAACATGCACATTAGCAGTACTGGTTAGAAAGAAGAAGTACCTCCTATGACAACAAGGTATAACTGTTAAACATGCACCGATAAATCAGCCAGCTAATCAATCAGCGCTGATTTCCTCAATTTTGGGGGATCGGTTGATCCTTACATTTTATACACCGATCTTATGTACCTCAGCAAAACGTCTGAAAGTCAGCCGTTGTATCTTTTTGCTTTGCACTCATGTGCAGTTGAAACAAACACAAAAAGTTTGTATTGTTTCACAAGTATTGTTAAATGTTTTTCATTAAAATAAGACTGGAGCATCAAAGGTGTATGTTGTCAGTTATACATATAAAAAAACATCGGTATGGGCCAAAATCGGTATCAGCACATCAAGCCTTTTAAAGATCGGTGATCGGCCAGAAAATTGTGATCGGTGCACCCCTTATTACTGTACCTCCCTTTCTAATCATTTACTCTGTGGTAGATTAAAAAAAAAAAGATGGCTTATTGTTTGTTACCTGGTGGCATCTCGTCCGCCTCCTTCACACCACTAACGGAGCCTGAGATCATGTTGACATGTTGAGTCTGCTGGCTCAGATACTCCTGGAAATCCTTCACAAAGTCCAGCGTGTCCGGCTTTTCTTCACCCATTGAACTAAAGTGCTTCCGATATTCGGACAGGCGCGATGACTAAAAGCGAAAACGAGAGGAGGAAATTTACAACAAGATTGAAAAAAGTCGATGTTAGTCAGCTGATCTTCATAAACGTAGACCTACCTCTTTAAAGATAACTTTCGCTTGACTGTAATATATGTTGATCGACTGGAAAGGTTGTGTTGTTGCAATCCAGACACAAAGACAAGATAGACCTTGATATCTCTGATTGACAAGCAGGAAATCCGCGCAATCCGCTGTCTGGGTTGCTCCTAAACTCCGCTTCGCATCATCATGTTGTTACCGAAGCTCCGTTAGCAACACCGCTAACGCTAGCCTATCTTTCAGAAAGCATCTTTGTCAAAAACAATGTCGGTATATCCTCGACACGCTCATTATTTTTTACCGTACGCGTGTGTTTTGTTGAGCTCTCGACGGTGTCAACTGTATTTTTTTCTTCTCTGTCCGCCCATTCGCTTACATTCACACCAACACACAGTCTGCGAAATCAAAACAATAAACCAGACCAGGGGTGAGAGTTCATTTAGTGTGCGCCGGTGAAATCCGTCCTACCACAATCTCCGTTTTGGCGCGAAGAAAAGTTCCCACTTCCTGAGCCGAAAGTTTGGCCAGAATACAAAGTAATCACCCAAAGTATTGACATTATCTACAAAACATCCCAATTCTTTATTTTTATTAAGTCTTATCAATCGTCAAGGCGCAATCATTCTCTGACACGGACAATTAAGATCCATATTCTTTCATTTTGATTGTGGACTAGGCCTGGACACGCTCCACCGCCGGTCAGGTAAGACAAGGTTCCTCACAAACAATTCATTTACAATTATATTTATGTATTTATTGTTATTCTAATCATTGATACATAATTTGGCGTCGAATATGGGCCAGATTGGTCGTTTTAAATGTTTGCTTGAAAATAAATGTATGAGGCAGCGCTCTCCAAACACACAAACTCTCTTCTTCCAGCTTGTTTAAAAGTTGAAGAGTCAGTACATGCGCCATTTTTTTTAATTTTTAAGTTAGATTTTTCATTTAGAAAATGAGTATAAGAGTATTTAATTTAAGTATTTTGTTGTTGTTGTTGTTGTTATTGTTGTTATTATTTTTTTTTAATTTTATTTTTTAAGGTTTCTTAGTGATAATATATGGACTAATATTTTGTCCCCTGGTTCTATGAGGGTAGGATCAGCGTTTCAGCTTTTATTCCTGTTTCCACAAAATCAAGCCCTTTTTAAGTTTATGCATTTTAATCCTGTTTCTGTTGCAATTAGATCATGAGGTGGGAATAAGGGGTTGGGTTGGGGTAGATTTGGGTATTTTAATCTTGGGCTGGGGTAGATTTGGGTATTCTTTTAATCTTGGGCTGAAGTAGATTTGGGTATTCTTTAATCTTGGGTTGGGGTAGGTTTTGGTATTCTTTTAATCTTGGGCTGGGGTAGATTTGGGTATTCTTTTAATCTTGGGTTGGGGTAGATTTGAGTATTCTTTTAATCTTGGGTTGGGGTAGATTTGGGTAAGTATAATCTTACCTCACACCTTTAACAATGCACTTTGTTGAATTGGCCTTTTTTTTTCAACAACGCATACACTGGAAACGCCAATTTATCTCCACCTCCCAATGAAGTTAAGTGGGAACATATCCACTGGCACCCGTGACATGACACACTTTTAGTTGTAAACCCTGCAATTATGCACAAGTGGCAAATGAGGCACAACAATTACATTACTTTCAAAAGCTATTGACTCATTCATGTTTTATCATAATCAATAATTTACAGGTAAGCGCTAAGTGAAGATCACATTGCGCCAAATGTGTCAGAGTTGTAGGAAAATCACTGAGGAGTAGATGATAAATGACCAAGAGGAGTGAGGCCCCTGTATCCTTTTACCACATTACAACTGCTACTGTCAGGTTAAAAGAGTTACAGCAGTAATGTAAACCTGCCACCTGTGAATTTTTTACTTTGTAATATGAGGCACTTGCTTTGTGTTAGAAATCCAACTGCCTCTCCACGCTGTTCTCTATAAGAACTGACTTTAAGCATGACATGGAAATGCACTCCTGTAGAGAATAGATACAAATGTAAATACTTGGTTCTGTTTTGTTTTATCAGGTCCTGTGTGCCTCCTGTTGACCCCTCCACTTGTGAGTGCAGCTCATCATGTGGACACTAGATGGAGCACATGTCTCAGTAATGAAAGAGGTGCGTCCCACAACACTGTACAACACAGTTTTCAGACACATGACACAAGATACACAGCAAAGAGATGTGGGTTAGTATTTCCTAAAAGTCCTAACCTTACTAAAAAGGCTTAGATTATCAAGACACTCATCATGGCTGTCACTGAACAGGATGCAGAGAGAACAGTCACACACTGAGTCACCCTCTTGTGTTAGTTTGTGCCAGTCTCCAGGGACAGTATGTACAGGAAGACGTGACAGTCGACCAGTTGAACCATGACCACTGGAGCAGCCAATTACATCACCTTCTAACAGCCTGTCCACACTAATGTTATTTTATTGCAATTTAATTATGCTCAGGTTTCCACCAGAGCCAGGTCCTGTTGAATAATTTACACACAGCCACAATGATTTGTCGGCTTGAAAGACAAAGTGTGTACTTGTCTGTATTCTCATTTATTTGGAGAGTTTTGTTTTTAATTTCAATAGTGCAAATCATTAAACAGTAATCTTATGTGAGAATTTCAACAGCCAATTCAGTTTCTGGATTGAAGGATAGATTTTTCAGCCCAAGAAACACTGAAGGGGGACAATTTGTCAAACTTAATTTTGCATTAATGACATGTCCACTGCCCGATATATTAAGGTGTTCTTTTAAAGGGCAGTGAGAATGTATTAATGAGACTAGGGCAGGTAATACACCTAATAGGGCTTGCTAGGCCTGGTATTTATACTCCACAATGCTGCGGTCACACATTGAATCTTTCATATATTATTTGCCATTTTGTGAAAAATTGTGCCAAATGAATGTAGTTACACAATATCAAACCAAATGCACTCTTCTGATAAAACTACTGATATACTTAACAATTGAAAAGGCCTAACTTGAACTCAAAGCCTTCATAGGATTAGGCTAAATTATACGAGTGTGTCTGGATATAAACACACGGCCACATGCAGAATGGCTCAGGGATAACACCTGTCTTTCAGAAGGTTGCAGTGTTATCCACTTGCTCTGATTCACATTTAAAAGGCCTCAATGAAAAGGTTCCCTTCTCCTCTTAAGCGCTTGATTTACAGGCTGTTTGTGGTTTAACGCCACACAAGACAATTGATTTGCTCCTCCTCTCCTGAAAGAAATTGGAATTTAATTTAGAGAAGGTCTTGAGCAGTTTTTAAAGACTTGGTGTCATTTGTTGGGCGTGTGTAAAAGCCGCATTAGAGATTACCCTCCTGGAAAAGCTTTTTAATCCCAGACAAGTGCAGCCATAGTAACGATAGGCAGGAGCCTCTTGGAGGCAGAAAGGTGAAGGGGGACTTTGACAAGATTTATTCTTCTCTGACTGAGACTGTTTCTTTCTTGAGGTCTCCGGCTCCACAAGGAGCATTTGAAAAAGAACTGAGGGGTGTGGGATAGGATAAAGGAGGTATATATTAAGCTTTTCTTTCCTCTCACCACTTAATTTCCTTGCAGGCGTGCCTTGCGCCGTTGTAATGAATGTAATTGCTGCCTTTGATGAGAATGCTATTATCTGGATCACACTTTACATGGGCAAACAAGACGGCCCCTCCTTCTGCCTCCACCTCCCATTTAACTCAGCAATGAGACCCCCCAATTATGCAGAGAACAAGTGGCTTTTCATAAAGCCAGCGTGTCGCTCTTGATTGGTGAGGCTTGGAGCTGGCTACATGTGAACAAAGGATAGATTAGATGTGATATAGGCACACCAAAAACCCCATTTCCTTGATTAATTTCCTGCATGCCTCACAGAAAGGGTCCGCTCTGTCTCCACTGAATTCTATCTGTCCTTTAAAGACAAACTTTCATCTTTTGATGGATCGGACAACTCAAAGGACAGACAGACATTTTATTGACCTAAGTTTGACCAGAGCTGCCTGGGCTTCAGGAGAGAATATGAGCTGAAAAAGAGAAATGTTTCACTTGAGCGTGGGAGGATGGGCTTATTTTTCTTGTCGAAAGTCTCCAGTTTTTCTACCCTCAGCCAGGATCTCCTCTGTTCTAATGTTGATCTTTTTTTGTGCTTTCATGTCATCACCCTCAGCACACACACTCGCAGTTCTTCCCTCCTCCTCCTCACACATTCAGAAGCATGCTAAACAGCCATTTGATTATAGTAGCAAACAGCTTTGATGGCACTTTATGAGGCGATGCGCGATAAAGCTGCTGTCACCTCAGAAAGTCTTGGTGTTGCTCTGACTGCCTTATTACTGTATTAAAGCACCAGCTGACATATTCACACACCTCAGCCTGGCTCTGACATCCCAGCGTGATTCTGCCAAATATTCCTCCAGCCTGAAGTATTGACAACAATCAAACAGACACAAGTGACACATTATACTCTTACACCTCAGAGATTTCCATCCTTGAAATGTATTCATAGCCATTTGTTCTTAACCGGTGAGTGATTACTCCTCTAAGCAAGCAGTTCCCAATGATAGATTTCCAATCAATTCATTTGAATATAATGTTTTGGGAATAGCTGAGAGGGATCAGCAGCATGGTCACCCCTATTCACTTTAATATCTATCTAACACTAAGTCATGGTGCTGTTGGGCCTGATGGATGTGGGCTGCCCGACCACCTGACTCTTTAAGGTTTATACCATCAGAAACAGGTTGCCATCCGGACCCAGTCACGCCAGAGAAGAAATTGGCCAATATTTTTGACTGAAGTGGCATTTTAGCAGTATTTATTTGATGGCCCCACTACCAAAACCATGGGCCACAAATAAAGAAGATGGTATAATAGCTTTTGACTGGCCGGCCAGCTCCCGACTTGAAATGAAGTGTCCAGTTGTGAGTTATCGTGGCCAAACGTCATTTGTACAGCCTGAAAAGTGGGGACATTTTTCTAGCTTGTCACTCTGTGGCTATAGCTCATTGTCCTGAATGATGCCTTTGAACGCACAGTTGCCCTAATACGAGTATTTCACTCACACCGCAAGAAGGCTGGTAATGGAATAGCCTGTCCATAGGATGATAATATAGTGCGTCCACTGGCACATCTTTAAACAGCAGTGGGTCACAGCAGGTAGAGAATCAACTTCCTGAAACAATGCCTACATTTAGCACTGATCCCAGCTTCATCTTCGTACATCTGAATTAAACTAAACAAAGACTCTGAATGCTTTAGTGACGTAGTTACAGTTTGAGTTGTTAAAAGGCTCTAATATACAATAAATTAATCTTAATCTTGCACAAATTTTATGGTACAAAAGTTTATTTTGGCAAATGTGTTTTTTTGTTCAAAATTTCATTTATTTTTTTCTTTTTTAATTAGAGCTCCTGTGAGGATTTAGGTTGTTTATTTGTTAC